TGAAGAGTCTCTTAAATTTAGTGCATTCATGTTGTATTAAACTTGAAATTGGACACAAAGAGCACTCCGACTGACTTTTTTTCTTCTATCGTTACTGGTAATTTGTTATGATATATGTTCACATATATAAATAAAATAGATGTCGTCAATTTTTTTTTCTTTTGCCTCTATGTATTTGTTATCCGCTGAGGAAATTTTTCCATCGTTTGTATATTGTGAACAAGATTATAACTAGTTGTTGTCATCGTCAAAACAATTTTCTTTATAATTAACAAAATTAAACGCTGTAAACCTTGTCTATTTTGACCTACTATCAACATTATAAATGTTATAGCTGCGTGTGACGGACCATGGCCAACTTCATCTGTGTACGCCCCATGACCATAAATTAAAAGAACATCAAACCGTTTGTAACGCCCTCATGTTCCGGATGATCCATTGTAAAGAAAGAAACTCGACTGTCGTTAGTTCCATTTCATTTGTAATCAGACTAATAGTGTTGTATCCAACCAACAATAATCAACAAAAATGTCAAGGCTTTTAATTATACACCAGATTAAAAAACACTCTAGACTTGGAGCCAAATTTGTATAGAATTCAACTTGTCATTAAATCTGACTTTACTGTATTACTATGTCACTTGTACCTACATACGAAAAAGTTGTCAAACTCGGCAACAAGAATAAGAACACCGTCAATATGTAGTCTCGGATCGTTTGTCTTTAAAGCCAGTTTATGTTTTCCGAAACGCCAAATTTATGACCTATCGGTTACAGTATTCATAAAAACCAACTAAGCTAACAATTTTCCCCTCAAAGTTAATAAACCAGAATAGCACGATGCCTTATTAATGTTAGCACATGTAGTTAATTTAAACCGCCCTTTAATTTAACACCGGATAGTTTGAAATGCAAACAAAAACAATTAAGTAATATTATATCACGTGTTTGAACAGGACTCGAAAAATTTCCCCGTCGAAATTTAACCCCCGAACTTATTAAAATGATAATTGAAACTTCTTGAAAAATCGCAAATGTAACCGATACTCACAAACTTCCAACGCAAATACCTCAACCGGATTCCTCGAAAAATTTCCAACAAACTTCTTCAAAAGTCGCGCTTATTCACAAAGGTAAAAATTAATAACGTACATACTTGCAACGAGTATTATCCTTCAACTTTGCTTCGCGTTTTCAATTATAAATTACGGTATGGTGAGGTGAAAGATACTTGTGGCGCCACCAAGACCAATGAATCACCACCCTTCTTGTGTTCCTCACGAACCTACTTCTTTTTATTAGTATCGATTGGAAAAACAACCGGGGAGGATTGTCTACAGTTTAATGGATTTTCAGTTTTCGACTGAATTACCGCGTACTTAAAAATTAATCTAATAATAACATTTAATCAAATGCACTGACATGTCGTACTGCTCGTTGCCAAGCAAGCTTGACCGGGTTGAACCGAAAACACATCCTCGTGACGTCAAACTTCGCTTCGAATTAAACGGGGAAATTCGAAACCGGAAGACAGAGCCTCAGCGACTACTTAAACTTTCAGAAACGGAGATTCCGTGCGGCGTCGTTCACTTTAACTATCAATCATCTATAATTAACTATTCCTGGAGAGAGGCTGCTTTAAAAAAATGTCTTATAATTAAAGTGCAGGGTTTGGCATTTTAACTATTTTTAACCACAGCTTGCAACTGACCCTCGAGCTCCTAATAAAGCTTTTGCTAAAAAATTATCATACCTAAATAAATTTATGAATGAGGCATGATTTTAAACTGGTCGAGTCTCGAGCCCCGCGCTGGCCACAGTGCGGCCCTGTCCTCCGATGTTTTATTCATTCGACCATAAACGGGCGATTTTTCTCAAATCCTTCCACAACTCTTTGTTCGACGCGGTCCCGCCGTAATAATATCCATAAATCATCTCCTCAGGAAAAGCTCTAATTTCAGTCTAGATGAACTAAGCTCTCAGTAAAGTCTTCATCTCCTTTGTTACCTTTCGGATTTCCGGCAATGATGAACGGCAATAAAAGATAAAACCCATCTGCGATTTATTAAGCTGGAGAGGTCCGTTTTTTACAGCTCGTCCGGCATTCGTCCGATTTTATTAAAACCGTTTCGTTTTTTTATTATTATCCTTGATCTGCATTCGCGTTATAAAGGAGGTAATTGGGGAATAAACCCCGAATTTTTAAGGGCGGAGCATATTCGCCGTTATTATCGTCGTTAAATGGATTTATTCGTTCTACATGCCGTGGAGATAAACAGATTGTGAATGCCCCCAGGAATGCGTCGTGGGGTGATAAATAACATCTTGCTACAGAGGTTGCGAATAATGCCTATCGAGCGTAGGGTGGCGAAAGAAGAAGGAGAGCTGGTGTCAAAATACAAAGTTTGGGTGATACAAACTGGGAATGTGGGAAATCATTGTGCTTCTGACAGGATAAGACAGGATTTTTTATCGCGAAAGGGTAATGGATGTGTATAGTAATGTTTTGTGATCTTGGCCTGAGATTGATAACGGGATGAAATGCATTACTCTATTTCACACTTGACGTAATAGAATTTTTAAACCTTACACCGATAAGAACACCAAACTGAAGAAAAATGCGATGAGTTTGCGTTTTTATCTGATTTTCATAAATTTTTTTATTAAAACACAAACAACAAAAAGTCAAGTTTCTGGACGGGATAAAGAGACAAAGCATATGTTTAAGCTAAAAATGGGGATAATCCTAAAACACACGTAAAATTTAAAATATTTTTCTAATAAAATCGTGGACAGACATTCGTCTAAAATAAAGACTTTTGTCCACGCTCTATAAATTATTGTTATTTCTCGTCTCGTCTTAATGTTTCCCCCTGGCTCAAGCCAAATGTCTTCTGGCAAATCAACACTCTCTCAAGAAACTTACTGATTATTTAGGTAGGCTTCCGAGCTAATTGGTCTTAATCTCCAAACGACCCTTTTAATGAATAAAGGGTTCGAAATAGCTTCCTACCTAAGTAAACAAAGTGAAATTTCGCGAGTGCAAATGTCATCACTTTCCCTCGCTAACGAAAAAACGAAGATGTAACACAATCCAGTTAATTAATCAAATTATTACATTTTCCGGCTGTTGAGACAAGGTTTATTCCCGTGGAAAGTTTTCGTCGACGTCTGCAAAGAATTTTCAACTTTGATAAGGTTAAATCAAGCCATTAATTACTGCGTTATCCGTACCGGGTAGGTATTAAAAATAACAATAAAATAAATCCGGGGGTGGAGTTGAGCCCCGTTTCGGTTTAGATAGCGATATCGAATCCACATAAAATGCGCTCCGTATTCAGGTTTAGAAACATGGAAACCATTAAAATAACGATAAATCAAATTATTTTAGGTCGGTTATGGTTGTAATATTGAAAATTTCTGCAAACCGCTGAATAGACACCCACGTACAAGATTCATCGAGAAAAGTAGCGCTTTGATTTTACGGGGATGATTATGAAGGTACTAATGGGCTTTATAAGAATCTTCGGTGATATCAAATTCCATTTTCTCTCTCTATTCTTAGCTGGTGGGTTTCAATAAACCGGGGAGGAAAATGCTCTAATTCAAGCTATCAAAATAAATACTGGGAAATTGACGAAACACGATGAATTGACTTTATTGTAAACACACACAGGAAGGTTGAGAATTTGCCGTCAAATGGATTACCTTTAAGGTAGATTAAGTTTGATGAAAATTCGCTTTGTAAAATCTTCCCTTTGTGACGGATAATTGAACGGAAGTCGATTTATTTTTAACAGAAAAGTCCATTACGCATTATTGCTACTTACTGATAAGATCTATTCGGGTAATGATTTATGGCACAAAAGTGGATTTCAATGCTTTTTTATAAACTTTTGTACATTACACAATGGGTATTGTGGGTACAAAGTTAGCACTCGTACAGCAGGGATTTACTCCTTCGGCTTAGTCCACATGTGAACTTTTATTCAGAACCCTGTACAAATAATAAAATTGTTGACCGGCTACGAAACTCGCAAACATGAAAAAGAGTCAGTCTCTCAAAAACCACAATGCCGTAACTAAAAATAAACCTGATCATTAAACTCGTGATGAGTTATTTATGTGGATTTTTCGGAAGAAACCGTCATAAAAACTTTACTCAATGAAAACGCCCACGGTCTTTTTCATCGAACTTCGGTGCATGTGGCATCAATGAGAGAATATGGTGGGGCGCCTTTTAACAATTCTGACAATTTTTTGAAGCCCAACGTCTATGGAGATAGCATCAGTTGGTATATTGAAGCCCGTCATCGGCATTGACGTTACTGAAAGTTTGATAGGGCACCACAATGCGCTCTGACGTAATTAACTTTACATTTAGTGAAGCCATGCTGAAAGATGCCAAGATAAAACAAATTTGCTATTGATTTGAAAGAAACACATTTTACTAGATCGCGCAATTAGCTTTCACGCGAGCTCGTTAATCGAATACGCGCTAAATTAGCGCTCGTTCTCATTAATTACGATTTTTGGATTAGACAGACAGACGTATGTACAATCAGCGACAAAAACGCGGAAAAGTTCGAAATCGATACGTCGCGAAAAGGTCGACTTTTCTGAATCTAAAAATACTAATATGTGCATTTAAACTTAATATCCCTATCGCCGCGAATTTAAAGCACATAAAACTCAGTGCCAAAGCTTTCAGTCGTCTTCGTCGACCTTCACCTGGAATACGACAAACTCATAAACAATTTCTGTTCGAAGTGTGCGAATAACATGCAAGTGATAAACAAAACAGCTAACCGCCGTTGTTGATTTATCCGATTTCTGTTTTAATACTCGAAACGTCCCCTTTAAATCGTCGCTTTTAGCCGTATATCAATCCCATTTCACACACTCAATCCGAAAATCTCTGTCTTTATGTAAATCCTGCGAAGAGTTCGCGAAAGCCGACTAAACGGAGCTTTTTTTCTTATTGTTGTGTGCTTGTTTCAGGTCCGCTCGAGGAGCTTAAACCATTTAGACACTCTAGAAATGAGGCAAGGCGTTATTTCGACCACGGATCCGGCTTTGAAGGACTCGAGGTCCGAACCGGACTGCACTCGGCCGGCGCTGGCTCCACCTTCAGTCACTCCGGAACCGGTAACACCCACCAGGGAAAATCCACCGGCCCGGAAACACATGCTTAGTAGATCTCAAGTAAGTTTTGAATAGTTCATGACTTAGATGTGCTCTCGGCGGGTTGGGCCGCTGAGGTGTTGTGGATCAAAATGCGACGGTTGAGCAGTTTGTTACGGGGTTAAAAATGCATTGGAAAGGAGAAGAATGCCAGATCGAAAACGTTGGGGTTTAGAGTTGGCCCCAAAGGAAAATTGTATTGTTTAAAAATATTTCAATCTAAACCATTATAACAGCTGAAAGCTTCGGGTTGACAACGTACAAAACCCGCATTTCATATTATTTCAAAAACTATTAAAACTTTTGTCTTAGTTTTTTAATTGTAATATAACCAAATACTACTGATTGTAACAATGTAACTTTTACGCTACTACTGTTTTTAAATTACTACCAAAAAACCTTTTTGAAGTCTCTAGCCCCAACTGCAGAACTCAAATCGCAGCCACTTCTAAATCAAAATGTTTTCGATCGTGTTGTAAAATGTGTCATTACACTTGTCATCAAAGTTTCACCTTCGCAGTCAAACTGACGTAGAAATCATCACCATGATCCCAAAAATCTTATCTCTGTGACGTTTTTGCGACTCAGCTAATCTTTTAATAGTGTGATATAATTTACGATCACATTTTGATTGGCATTAAATGTACTGAAAATGATGCTCACTCAGGATTATGGATGGATCCACACAAAAATATTTCGGTAGTTGTATGGGGTTGAGAGAAAAGGTAACAAAGGCCATAAAGGATGAAAAACTGCAGCTTCCTAACATCACCCAGCAAAAAACAGAAACGAAGTTCATCATGGCCATTATAAAAAAGAACTTTTTGCTCTAAAATTTAAAACCTGAGGGATTTTCTTTGTAAAGACGAATATAAAAATGGAATGCGAAGTCACGGCATCATATTACATTTACTACTTAAAATTGGATTTCTTATTAAAATACACCAGTTTTTCTAAAGTAAAGTTGTAGATTCAGATAAAGGCGATTCAATATTGACGCAGTCTTTTTAATAAGGAAGTCAACTGAGTCAACAAGGAAGAGACGTTTAATAAGTCTTTAGATTTTTTGATTTAAAGATTATTAATTGTTATAAAACCGAAAATGTTCATTAGACGAAGACTATAGACACCGGAAAAGTGAACTTTACGTAATATAAGTCTTGTCATTAAATCATTATGAATGATGGTCTAAAACTTAAGCCATATATTTTTGTTGCTGGAGAGTTTGAAAAACATTATTTTTGTGCAGAAAATCCAGCGAATACCAAATAATCAGTATATGTTTTATTAAAGGAGACAAACATTGCAGAATAAAGAGCAAAGAGACTAGGTAATGTTAACCTATAAATTTAATGAAACTGAGTTAAATAATGAGACACTATGTCACAATTCCAAGCACCTACTTAGCAGCAATCAGCCCGTTTCTCTAATTGAACCTGTCGTCATGGACACTGTTCTACAATAATTCGAATTTGAATAAACTAATTAATTTCAAGTGTGCGATGCAAATAACGTCCCTAAAACATTGTTATTGCACTCCCAGTCCGCAACATAAATCTCTTGTCAGCATTCTTCAAAACGAGATTGTATTTAAACCGCCTGTCATCCGGAAAATTCCTCATGGAAACGCGATAATACACATAATCAATAAACGTTGCCGACATACGAGCTCTCGAATCAAAAATCCTCCGGCCGGCTTAATAGCGTGCCAATCCTTCAGACTGCGAGCTCATTCATATTCAGCAGACCGCTAACAAATGAAAACCGAGAAGGTTTCGGAGTAAGTAGCCCTTTCGCTTGCGAATGGAGACCCATTTCACACGAAAAAAAGCTCATCGCGGAGCTTAAATCATGCTTAAGTGTAAACATGGGGATCGGACACCATCTAATTAATCGAGTTCGCTGTCTTTGAATTCGCGTTTTGTGCCGGAAAACTCGCGCTGGAAATTTAAACAAAGCCTAATAGTGTCCCTCGTACATAATTTTTCAACTTCCGGTGAAGTTTCCCTCCTGATGTATTGACCTCTCTCGCGTAAACTTCTCCACTTCCGCTGATGTCCCCAAGGCAGTATGGATTTCCTCGGAGTTAGCTGCAGTCCGGACCTTTCGAAACGAATTTCGTCCTACGAATGTCTGCGGAGATTACAAAAAACAAGGGGATTTCGTTCCTGTTTGTCCGTTGCAGTAAAAAATTAAGTAACTTTTTCCTTGTTGGTATTTTGTTGCGGTGCACGGTATAGAAAAACTTTCTAAATATCTGAATCCCTACAATCCCGCCATCGGGAGATTTTTAACCCTCGTCAAGCTTATATAAATTATCGGCGGAGTTTATTTTTCTTGAGAAAAAGTTTCATTTATAAACTTCTTATAGCGATTTATTTCGACACGAACCGTAATTAATTCCCTGACATTTAAACTAACTGTGCTTTTTCTTTCTTTGCAGAAATCGAGCAGCGAATGTTTCAGTGTTAACTTCGAAGTAGGGGATGAAGCTACTTGGGATAATGATTTTTTCATCGCTCAACACGGAACCTTGTTACAGTAAGTGTTTCCACATAATTCGATCCACTTTTCATTAATTAATATAAATCACTTTCAAATACTTAACGTAACGACTTCATTGCTGATCTTAATTTAGCGTTCGAGTGAGAAGAAAACCTCAACCATAAAAGCGTTTAAATTATTAATTTCATTTCGCGCCGAGATTTGTTTTGTTTGAATTTCCGTAGTTTATTCGCAACAATTTAACGATAAGCGATTTACTTATTTGTTTCAGTTTCGTTAAGTGACTTTAATTATTAAGCTAATGAGGAAGGAACTCACTGAAGTGAATTTAGTCGTAGACGCAAATTGTAGTAAGAAACTAGATCTGGAACTTTACTTACTCCTCCGCAAGCTTGCAAACGTTCCATTGTTAGTGCATTCACGTATTCTATTTATTCGGTTTTTCGACGATTTTCTTGCTCATCAGTTTTAATCACTGGAACCAGCGCTCATTAATTTTAATTAAATAACTCTTGCTATTTTCAAAAATAGTGCAACGTCGGGTAGCGTAATAATAGCAGATTCGCGATTTAATTTAGTTTCGAGGTTTGAAAACTGTCACATGAATTGATATATCGAACAATAATTTTGTTATAGAATTTCATTATTAATCTTTTGTACTTTACACCAATTTTTGTTGGTTGGCAGAAGAGCATTAGTTTCAGTTCCATTATCAAATAATGGATTTCGGTTACCCCAAAACTTTTCTTGAGAAAAATGCTTCTTATCCGACAAATTCATTTTTTACCCGTCTGCGCCTCGAGCCGCCTTTCATTTTCTCGTAACGTGTGGTTATCGTCATAATTATCGACTAAATCGCCGACGGCAACGATGCTGCAACAAGAAAAACCAAACGATCCAACTGTTGCTAGGCGATTTGCAGCGTGTGCGTTGCAACACTTTACGATCTCTTATGGCCGCCATATTGATTTTTCCGGGCAAAAATAAAAGTCCATACGAGAGATAATTCCAATTTTTCGTTCTCATCTAACTGAATTATGTAGATTTCCACCGTCGCGATTTTCCACCCCGAAATCCTAAAAACATTTCCAATTCTTCCTTTCGATCACAAAGACGCCGAGTTTCATCGGTCTACATCCTTCCATCAAAACTTTAAACGAGCAATACTTGTTTGTTCCTTTATGATTGCAACAGACACCTCCAAACGTAAAGCCAATAGCTGAAATGCTCCTGAGACGTGTGGACCTGTCATCGGGGTAAAAAATCAAAGGCTGTTTTTGCGACTTTTCAAAACAAATATAACAGAAGTGTGTGGGTTGTTCCACGTTAAGTGAGCCACTTTAATTTTTTTGTTTGTTTTACGATTGACTTTCCTTTAATTTTTACGCCAACATTTTCAAAAATTTTGACTTCTGCTTTACGTATTTAAAAACAATGTCTGCTTGTTTGTAGATTTGTCTATTTCCTGGACTTAAAATTCTGAGTATACGTATTGCAATGGTAAAAAATGGTAAAAAATAAAAACTATGTTCCCCTGCCAGGAATTTGATGACGTCATTGTTAAATAAATCTTGTAAATCTCTCAATTTACAGCGTGGTTCACGAAACGTAATTTAGTACTTTGTTCTATTTATGAATAAAATTTTAATAAAACGTTAAAATTTTAACGCTAACGTAAAAATTATTGAGGATATAATCACCGAAAAATTTGTCGTGTTATGTTACATATAGAGGCTGAAAAAACTTAACTTATCAGTAGATTTTATCGATATATATTTTCTTTATATATTTAAACTCCACCAGTGCCAAGACCTCATCTCGCGATTTATTTAAAAAATGCTCCCTCAGATTTATACGATGTTAATAATGTTTCAGAAATAAAGGAATTTAGATGCAAATATTTGAACATTTTTATTTTTCTTATGGAAGATCTCTCTCTACATTTAAAAATAAAAAGAATAAATACTTAAAAGCAGCTATTGATTAAAATTCTCTGCATAGAATTTTTGCTCTTTGAAACTTATCTTCCGGTATTTCTTTTAGTTGGTTTTTAATTCCCGAGAGTAAGCTAGGAAAATATAAAGGTCCATCGGAAGACTAGTTACTTCGTTGCTTTCTCGACGTTTCTCGACCCCAAGAGTACGAAAAAATTGGTCTCCCGTTTTCGTCTGTCCGTCTCTCGACTGTTGTCTGGGTCGATTTTTATTAGACAGATAATTTTCGAAACTACTGGACCGACAGTTGTCAAATTTTAGATATTTATATGGAATATCGTGGTGGTGGTACAGCGTTAACCAAAATTTGTTTAATCATCCCCACCAACAATTTCATGACGCCACTTCAAAATTATTTTCTAAAGTCGCGTTAATTTTCTAATCTAGACATCCAAATTTTCGCACAAAAGTCCGAATTATATAACAACTTTTATCCAATCTTTTATCATTGTTGCAAATACCGGGTGATTAATGACTGAAACAAATTTTTGTGTTGGCAGTTCTGAATTATTGGTAGTCATGTCAGTTGTCAGTTTTGACATGAACACGTCTAATAAAGGTGTGATGTCATAAATGCCAATTTGACAATCAGGTATCCCATCATCAAATTTTAAATTTGTTGCCAACCTGACAACAAAATCACAAACATTAATAGCCAACCGGTATTTATAAACAGGATTGCCGCATAAAAATAAACCCAGGTCATGAATAAATTTATATACAGGGTATGTCATTAATGGCGCTCGATATCTCAGTATAAAGAAAGAAAAAAATTAAATAATGTTTTGTTTTCGCGGCAAGTAGAATACCCTTTATATTCTTTAATACTCTAGTTAGCATATTTGTAGGTGTTAATTTGTGTTTGAAATTCGAATTCCAATTTTCTTGAATTTTTTAGTAAGCTTAACAAAAAAATCGCAATAATGATATTTTTAACATCTGTGTTGCAATAAATTATGGGCAAATAAATAAAGGTACATATTTTGACATTTTATTGTGGTATCAATCAATAAAACTGAATCTTAAAATACAGAATTTTTACTAAAAAAAAATGCTAAAATATTGCAATTTTCACATATTGCTAGTTTAACTTTTTCCATAGAACGCTCATTATTTTGTCGTTGTATGTTACTGTTAGAGATGCACTAATAAAATACAGGGTGTTCTCTTTGGAAATCTCGACTTTGAAAATTATAACAGTATATTTTTTACAAACACTATATATTAAAGCTTAATTTTATTGATGGCACAACAAAGCACGTACCTTGATTTATGTCTCGACCAAAATATAGACTGCAATTTTTTGTGAATCCTTGATTTCAAGGAAACTAAAATAATGTGGCAACCTCGCAAATGCATTGGGTGTTCCACTTTAAAGGTTAACTTAGGTGGGGTGAGTCCTAAGGACACGGTCCTCGATTTCTCATTAATTATAATTAATGCTTGCTCATAGACTCTGTAAGAAAAAGTCAAACTTAGCCCCGCCCACCCACCCGTTCTTTTTTCTTCTGAAATAAGAAATGCATTTTTTATAGCAAATAGTATAACTAAAAAAATACAGTTAGCGTTCTTTTTTCTTTTTTTAACAGCCCAGGTTCTATTAGTTTCTTGCCACTTTCCAGAAGAACCTATAATTAACTTCGCCCACTTACCCCGCCTTCATTTTAGTAATTTATTGTATTTGAATGAAAGGTGGATTTTATACTGATAACGTCACCTTAGAACTGGTTTGCCGCATATCCAGATCGCGTCCGAGGGATTTTCGCCTCTACTGTTTAGTGCAGATTTGCCGCATGTCGCACTTGGGCGAAGCGAAACATAGTTTAGATTCAGTGCTGATTTGCCGCATGTCCAAGCAGAAATCGATACAGTACCGTTATCCGTTTTTACGTACTTCTTTGCTGTTTTGCTTTTCAGCGTTAGGTTTGGGGTTGGGAAAGAAATCGTATTCAACTTCACGCGCAGAACAATAAGAATAATGTGAAATAAATAAAAAAGAGACTTAACAATTTTGATGAATCTGAAATTAAAAAAAAAACAACTGTAATTTGTGCAACTCTTTTTCTGTTGTTATAGATGTTACAAATATTTTCAAATTATTAGATTCGAAATTTTACAGATTTAAATTTCAAATAGATTTGTTGCTCGTTAAACAAATAATTTAATTTTTTACTTAACAGTAACATTTTTATTTAATGATTTCTCGGAAATGATTGAACTTATTTTCTCTAAAATTTTAGTCAACAAAATTCATAGTGCTGCATACCTGTATTCGTATTTGTGGAAATGATATTTCCACATCAATAATTACAGATAATAATAGATACATTTTTCAGAGATAATTAAGATTAAGATTTCTTAATCAACTTCACGCGCAGAACAAGTAATACGGCAAGGACTCATAATGTGAAATAAATGAAAAATTGAAACGATATTAGAAATCTCGTGGTGAAGTAGTTAACTAAGTATAACGAACAATGAATGTTAAGTTATTAATGTTTTGATTCGATTTTTTCTAAATATTTTTAAAATAAAGAGACTTATTTTTCTTTATTTTTATATAAAATCTTCATTTGATAAAACTCATTGCAGTCATTCATTTTTCCTAAAAACTCTAGAATCCAAATATTGCATTGTTAATTTCCATTGTTAAATGGTGAATTGTGAGCGAAATACGGAGTATCAAATTTAAATGTGTTTTACAGAAAGGAATTATTTTTACGAAGGATAATAAAATGATATTTTCTTTGCATTGGCGGAGTAAAGGCGGCTCGTTGACTCGCTGCAGTCCTACTAAAATTGCAGCTTAATATGTAATTTTTTTATATAAAATATTCAAACTGATAAAGAACACTCGGGTAAAAATAGGTTGTTGTCTCAAACAATTAGATTCCAGTATTTTATTACATTACATGGATATTGCCTACAAGTAGCTATTTTCGGGCAACCAGAGAAAATTAGCAGTGATACTGTTTAAAACTGTAAATGCAGTATATTTGGATTTGGAAATAAATCATTCGTTTCCATGTCTTATGTATCAGTGACAATTATGTTGACTGCAACCCAAATCTATTTGATTACCCCTAACTCCAATATATCTAGTACTTAATATAGTTATACGCTTTTCAGTTGAAAATGAAAGAATTATTTGTACTGGTAGTTGTAAATAATTGTATAAATATTTCCGTTGGATTCCTTTGCGAACTCTTTGTCAATTATTATTTATGATACTATGGTATGATCCCAAACTGTTTAGAGAAGAAAGGGAGGCTGTGGTGTGCGCACGTAAACTTGTCCTATTTCTTTCCAATACATTAGCTCTAAATATTAGCTCTCTGTCTATCATCTCCTACGTGCGCTTATCATAGACTCCTTTTATCTAAAAAGTATGCAGTATTTCCCGCGCAAACCAGCAGTCAGATCTCTAGATTGCCTGGCCTCGTGATTTGTCACGTATTTTTCAATAACATACAGTTTTCTAAATTTGCTGAAGTACTACTAAACTACAAAAATAAATAAACGGGTAAATTATATTCTCAAATTATAACTCCGAATTAAACATGCAATGTGAAAAGTTAATGCCGTGAACCCTACTAAGTATAAATTAAACGTCATTGTTTGCTAACTACATAATTGATTAAACTTATTATTTTAATAAGGTAAGGTATTAAACTAGAAAGAGTTTAATAATTCTAATTTTAATAATTCTTATAAATGAGTAGATATTTAATAATAAAGCAATACATATTATTATACGCAAAAAATGTATTTGCATGTTTTTGCATAAACTTCCTGCACTTATAATTTATGAACAGTATTTTGGACGATGCCCAATTAATTGATAAATAATAGTATGTTGATGTAAAAAGAGTATCATTACATTACTTCAAATTCTTTTAACTTTCTTTATGTATGTAGTATATCCTGTTTCCAAAATCTCAAGAAATTAGGGTTATGGTAATTCAATGCAATCTGGATGCTTAGGGTAAAATCTCAATAAACAACAAATGAAAAAGTATGTTATTTTTTAAAATTTATATAACATTTATTGCTGTAAAAGTTGGAGATGACGTTATATGATGGGGAGGATGATTACAAATGTTGGTCAGCGTTTTATCAACCGGAAACGAGAGACCTATGTTTTCGTATTATAGGAGTCATGAAACGTTGAGAATCCATAAAAGTAGCCAGTCGCCCGATGAACCTGATTACAATACTTCCTTAGCTTGCGCTCGAGACATAAAAAAAATAAACAATAACATTTGGATTTAATAGCTTTTGATATCTGGTATACCTAAACAGTGAGTGAATTTTATGCGGCTATTATTACCATTACATATAGCCATCCACTTAAATTAATTGGTAAAAAAATTTACCCATAAATAAGTTATTGTAAATTTATTTTTATTTACACGCGTATAATTGCACAACAATAATTGTTAGACAAATAGAATGATAAAGAAAGGCAATGTCATATTAAAAAACAAATGACTCGTTTCGATGTAAGGTACCTTATATAAGTTAACAACATACATCTATTTAGTTATTATAGGTAAAATTCTAATACGGAATTTGTTCTTGAAGTAAGTCGTACATTGTAAATAGCTATAAATTCGGAAATAATTCTTTTTAAAAGATACAAGTCAAAAATGTATTAGGCATGATTGTCAAGAAACATTCCAATTCTGTTTCAAATTTGCAAGCATTTTATGTCAAAAGCTGATTTTTGTAAACGTTCCAGTAATAAATTTCGAAGCAAAATCCACCTAAACAGATTTTGCTTCGAAATTTTAATTTTCATATTACTTTTACAACATTTTAATTTAAAAAATTAAAAATGTATCTATTATTTGTGATTATTGATGTAGAAATATCGTTTCTACAAATAAGAATACTACAAAAAATTGTGAACTCTTTTACTGGTATCCAGCGTTATAAATCTTGTTCACTAAAACTTTAGAGAAAATAAGTTCAATCATTCCCGAGAAAAAATTAAAGAAAAATGTTACTGTTTAGTAAAAAATTAAATTATTTGTTTATCGAACAACAAATCTATTTGAAATTTAAATTTGTAAAATTTCGAATCTAATAATTTGAAAATATTTGTAACATCTATAACAACAGAAAAAGAGTTGCACAAATTACAGTTGCTTTTTTTAATTTCAGATTCATCAAAATTGTTAAGTCTCTTTTTTATTTATTTCACATTATTCTTATTGTTCTGCGCGTGAAGTTGAATACGATTTCTTTCCCAACCCCAAACCTAACGCTGAAAAGCAAAACAGCAAGGAAGTACGTAAAAACGGATAACGGTACTGTATCGATTTCTGCTTGGATATGCGGCAAATCAGCACTGAATCTAAACTATGTTTCGCTTCGCCCAAGTGCGACATGCGGCAAATCTGCACTAAACAGTAGAGGCGAAAATCCCTCGGACGCGATCTGGATATGCGGCAAACCAGTTCTAAGGTGACGATAAACAAAAATAAAATCGTTAAAATGAGAATAGGGCGGATGAGCGGGGCTAGTACTTGCTAAGATAAGACTGATTTTGGCAAATAACACCTTCTAAAAAAATAACATAAGACTGAGCCATATTTAGAATAGTGACTGGGATGTAGAGGGAGTGGGTGGGCGGGACTACTGCTTGCTTATAAAAACTCCCTAAGAAAAAGTTAAACTTAGCCCCACCCACCCACCCGTTTCTTTTCTTCTGAAATAAGAAATGCTTTTTTGTAGCAATAATTATTAGAAATAGAAGAAAAAATCAAAGACCAAAGTTGAACGGTTCTTTTAGGACTATACTTTAAATGTATCGTTAACCATACAGAGTGTTCCGTTTTTAATGCGTAAAACACAACTTAATTTGTTTTAATGAACACCATACATATTTTGATTGATTTCTTCTTAGGCTTTATAACCACAGTTTATCTTAAAATTTCAATGCGACGTTGCCACCTTATCCCAATTTTCTTGAAACTTTTGGCAGGGGAAGCGTTCACAAAAAAAAGTACAATAAGATTATTTTTGAAGGCTGTCTTACAGTATTTTGTGAAAAAATAAATAAATGTACGCGCTTTGATGTGGAATCAACTAAATCAAATTTTAATATACAGAGTGTTTATAAAAAATCTTAAACGTTACAATGAAAGAAATGCTACTGAAACAATTTGCAAATATCGCTATTTCAGTACACCCTGTATTTTATTACTGTATCTTACTCTATTTTTGTCCTCATTATTTTAATATGTCTATGTGTTTCTTAAAAAAGTAATAATCGATAATCGTATCAACTTCAAATATAGAAAATACTCAGCAAAAATCACAACTTTGGCATTTGACTTTTTTAACAACATTTAATTCAAAACTTGCGACATCGTTGTTCACTGAAAATGTATACTACGGGGTTGGCATGATTTAAAAAAAAGCAGGTTGAAAAAAATGTGTTTTTTAATGTAGCTCTTTTTTGACTTTGAAAATTTTAAACCAAAAAATTTTAAATCCCGTTTAACGAATAGACGATAAGTTTTAAGATAAAAATTAATGTGTTTTTTTAGAAAAATGTGTGTATAAAAGTAAACAGAGAAAGAATTTAGTTGGTTCGGTTAGCATGGAATGACCGATACGTCGAAAGAAATTCTCATTTCCAGTTCATTACCAATCTCTCCAGATTCGTCTAACAGTTGGACTTTTTATTAACAATAATCGATTGGCGGAGTGGAAAGCTCTTGCCCCGAGCAACAGCACTATCAATCCAAACGTTGTATTTCTTTCCACCACGGGAGCTTTTACACATCTCGGCGATATTTATCATGCACCAACGCCAGAATAATGGCGTTTTTGTTGGGTGCACTCGTCGAAAAATACAATTTAATAAAGCGCTATCTTTCCGCGTAGTTCCACCCTCATGAAAGCACTATACACAAGACCTGAAACGCTTTTTCTGTCTTCCATGTGTAATTTTTTATCGGGTCGAGTTGAACGTCATCGAGCATAATAAATCGCTAGCCTAATGCGAATTCCGATAATGAAAATCTATGGTCGATGTGGTAAAAATGATTTTTAATTATGCCGGCGGCGTGTAATTGATTTAAGAGAATCAGATCGGGAATTAGGGCGGATGTCGAACTTTTCGAATTAAATCACTCAACGAGTAACCTAATAGAGGGACAAAACGGTTGTGCCGTCGTCCTAGCAACAGGGTTTGCCTAGCTGAAGGCTTATTAGGGCGGCGAACAGTTGCCAACTAAAAGACAATCCAATTAATTCCGCTTATTTTAATTGCCGTTCTTTGACTTGGCCGTTTTGTTTTTGCAGCGAGGCGCTCGCAAAAATCTGCGATCTTCGGAACATCGATCTGTCCGTGTGCGACGCCAGGTTATTGGACAAGGACTCCAACACCGAGACAATAATCGGACTCGGCGCGGACACGGGACATCTAGTCGGAAGGCACATTCGAATCACCGGTAAGAGACGACGAATGATCAGTAGTGCACCACTGCGGCGCTCCAAACCGACATTTTTCGATTTAGAATTTTTGCTTTACTTGAAAGGATATTTTTAGTGTAATAGCAAACTTATTTAAAGCAACAATGGTAACAATAAAAGCCTGAATTTTGCGACGTGGAATTTTTTGTGCAGTAAGCAATCAATTCATGGGTGTTGCTCACAACCCTGCCGCTGTTATTGAAATCTATTTATAAAGAGTTATACAACTTTTTTCTTTTGTAAATTTTTTATTATTACGTTGACGATGTTTTGAAATGGATTTTCTTTAATGACGACCGAAACTCTGCAAATTTAACAACTTTTAGCGTTCAGCTGTAATTATTACAAGTCTTAATGATGTCGACTCTATTGACCCACAATTTTTTTAATCTTCACTTAGACTAGTATTTCCAGAGAACTCTAATCTCTCCAATTAGTAGCAACCAACACTTTTATTTTAATATGACATCATCAATTTACTACAGGAATTCAATAATGTAACTTTAGTAGAGAGAAGTTAAGATTTTAAAAATATTACATTTAAATTTTTTTTTTTTTTTGCCTCAAAATTGCCATATTTCATTGGACGACTGTGTAAAATAGGAATTTGCGACGAATTGAAGTCAAAAGTAACTTCTGAAGGTCAAAATGTACAAAAAAAATCTCTTTAAGTTGTCGAAAAAGGGTCAAAATTCTTATAAAAAGCTCAAATTTGGAAATTTTGAGCTTTTAAAAAACTTGTCTAAAAATCCACAAAAAATTCTGGGATATAGAGTTCGGCGTGCTAACCCGAAAAATACAGCATGTTTAAGGGCTCCGAGCAAGATTCCAGAAATACTCGGTTTGAAAGTCAAATTTTTAAAAAGTCCTAAAAATAACCACATTTTAAAGGACAATTCTGAAAAAATGCTAGAAGTTTTTGAAAAAATGCCGCCGAAGTAATTTCTCGAGGTCGAAATCTACAAAACAAAATAAATGTCTGGGTAATTTTCGAATGTAGTCAAAAAAAAATCGAAATTTTCATTAGGGGAGAATATTGAAAAATTGAGGTTTTGAAAAAGTGTCTAAAAATTCACAAAAAATTCTGGGAGGTAGGTAGAGCTCCGAGATGATCCGAAAAATATAACATATTTACCGCCAACGACCAAGATTTCATAAGTATTCGGATTGAAAGTCGAATTTTTAAAAAGTGCGAAAGGTTGCCATTATTTATTCGATAATTCTGAGAAATTCTAGAAGTTGTGAAAAAATACCGCCGCAAGTAACTTCTGGAGGTCGAAATCTACAACGAAAATCTCTTTGGGCATTTTTCGAATGTGGTCGAAAAAAAACGAAATTTTCATATTCACTGAAAAATTGAGCTTTTAAAAGTTCACTAAAAAATCCACAGAAAATTTTGGGATGTAAAGTTCGGCGTGCTGATCCGAAAAATGTGGCATTTTTATGGTCTTCCAGCAAGATTTTAGAAATATTTGGCTTGAAAGTCAAATTTCTTAAAAAGTTCTAAAATGTCCATAATTTATTGGGCAATTCTAGAAAAATAATAGGAGATTTTGAAAAATACTGCCGAAAATAACTTCTGGAGGTCGAAATCTACAAAAAAAATCTTTGGACAATTTTCGAATGTGGTCCAAAAAAAACGAAATTTTCGTAAGAGTATTTAAAAATTCTCCATTTGAAACAGCTTCACAAAAATCTACAAAAAATTAAAGTTCAGCATATTGATTTGAAAAATATAGCGTTTTTATTGTCTCCGAGCAAGATTTTAGAAATATTCGATTTGAAAGCCAAATTTTTAAAAAATCCAAAAAAATTAATATTTCATACTTAGAGTATTTCTAGAACAACGTTGGGAGTTTTTGAAAAAATGATGCCGAAAGTAACTTCGGAATGTCGAAATCTACAGAAAAATCTTTGGCCGATTTTCGGATATGGTAAAAAAATTGAAATTTTCATAAGGAAAAAATTGTCCTTTTGAAAAAGTTTCCCAAATATCTACAAAAAATTCTGGGATATAAAATTAGGTGTGCTGATTCGAAAAATATAATATCTTTATGGTCTGCGAGCAAGATTTTAGAAATATTCGGTTTGAAAATCAAATTTTTAAAGTCCTAAAAATGGCCATATTTCACTGGATAGTTCTGGAAAAATGATATCAGTTTTTGACGGAACACACCCGATAGTAACTTTTAAAGATCGAAATCTACAAAAAAATCTATTTAGGCAATTTTCGAATGTGATCCAAAAAAAATCGAAATTTTCGTAAGAAGAAAGTATTGAAAAAGGAGCTTGAAAAGTTCTACAAAAAGTCCTATACAATTGTCATATTTCTTGAGGCGATTTTGTAAAAAATCTAGTTTTTGAACAAATGGCGCCGAAAATAACGTCTGGAGGTAAAAATTTACAAAAAAAAATCTATGGTCAATTTTCGAATGTGGTCGGAAAAAAATCGAAATTTACGTAAGGGGAGAATATTGAAAAATTGAGCATTTGAAAAATTCTCTAAAAATCCACAAAAAAATTCTGAGATATGAAGGTCGGAGGAGCGCTGATCCGAAAAATATAGCGTATTTATCGTCAACAACCAAGATTTCATAAATATTCGGTTTGAAAATCAAATTTTTAATAAATCCGAAAGGTTGCCATATTTCATTGGGTAATTCTGGAAAATTCTAGGAGTTTTCAAAAAATACCGCCGAAAGTAACTTCTGGAGGTCGAAATCTACAAAGAAAATCTCTTTGGGCATTTTTCGAATGTGGTCGAAAAACACCGAAATTTTCATATCCACTGAAAAATTGGGCTTTTAAAAGTTCCCTAAAAAATCCACCGAAAATTCTGGGATATAAAGTTCGGCGTACTGATCCGAAAAATGTGGCATTTTTATGGTCTTCGGGCAAGATTTTAGAAATCTCTGGTTTGAAAGTCAAATTTCTTAAAAAGTCCTAAAATGTCCATAATTCATTGGGAAATTCTGGAAAAATGCTAGGAGATTTAAAAAAAAATATCGCCGAAAGTAACTTCTCGAGATCGAAATCTACAAAAAAAAAAAATTCTTTGGGCAATTTTCGAATGTAGTGAACAAAAACCGAAATTTTCGTAAGGGTATTTAAAAATTTTCCATTTGAAAAAGCTTCACAAAAATCTACAAAAAATTCTGGAATTAAAGTTCGGCATGTTGATTTGAAAAATATAGCATTTTTATAATCTCCGAGCAAGATTTTAGAAATATTCGATTTGAAAGTCAAAAAGTTTAAAAAATCCAAAAAATTGTCATATCTCATAAGATATTTCTAGAAAAACGTTGGGAGTTTTTGAAAAAATGGTACCGAAACTAATTTCTGGATGTCGAAATCTACAAAAAAATCTGTTTGGCCGATTTTCGAATATGGACAAAAAATATTGAAATTTTCATTAAAAAAAACAAATTATCCTTTTGAAAAAGTTTCCCAAAAATTTACAAAAAATTCTGATAGTTTTTGAAGAAATGCCGCCGAAAGTAACTTCTGAAGGTAATCTACAAAAAAAATCTCTGGGCAATTTTCGAATGTGGTCGGAAAAAAATAGAAATTTTCATAAGGGGAGAATATTAAAAAATTGAGCTTTTGAAAAAGTCTCCAAAAATTCATTAAAAAATTCTGGGATATAAAGCTGCGAGATGATCCGAAAAATATAGCATATTTATCGGCAACGACCAAGATTTCATAAGGACATATTCGGTTTGAAAGTGGAATTTTTAAAAAATGCGAAAGGTTGTCATTTTTTGTTAGCTAATTCTGGAAAATTCTAGGAGTTTTGAAAAAATACCGCCGAAAGTAACTTCTGGAGGTCGAAACCTACAGAGAAAATCTCTTTGGACATTTTTCGAATGTGGTTGAAAAAAACGAAATTTTCATATCTACTGAAAAATTGAGCTTTTAAAAGTTCCCTAAAAAATCCACAGAAAATTCTGGGATATAAATTTCGACGTACTGATCCGAAAAATGTGGCATGTTTATGATCTTCAAGTAAGATTTTAGAAATATTTGGTTTGAAAGTCACGATTTCTTAGAAAGTCCTAAAATGTCCATAATTCATTGGGTAATTCTGGAAAAATGCTGGGAGATTTTGGAAAAAATACCGCCGAAAGTAACTTTTGGGGATCGAAATCTACAAAAAAAAATTGTTGTGCAATTTTCGAAAAACCTAAATTTTCGTAAGGGTATTTAAAAAATCTCCACTTGAAAAAGCTTCACAAAAATCTACTAAAAATTCTGGGATTAAAGTTTGGCATGTTGATTTGAAAAATAGGTATAGCATTTTTATGATTTCCGAGCAAAATTTTAGAAATATTCGATTTGAAAGTAAAAAGTTTAAAAAATCCAAAAAATTGTCATATCTCATAAGATATTTCTAGAAAAACGTTAGGAGTTTTTGAAAAAATGGTGCCGAAAGTAATTTCTGGATCTCGAAATTTACAAAAAAATCTGTTTGGCCGATTTTCGAATATGATCAAAAAATATTGAAATTTTCATAAAAAAAAACAAATTATCCTTTTGAAAAAGTTTCTCAAGAATTTACAAAAAATTCTGATAGTTTTTAAAGAAATGCCGCCGAAATTAACTTCTGAAGGTAGAAATCTACAAAAAAAGTCTGGGCAATTTTCGAATGTGGTCGGAAAAAAATCGAAATTTTCATAAGGGGAGAGAAAATATTGAAAAATTGAGCTTTTGAAAAATTCTCTGAAAATCCATAAAAAATTTTGGGATATAAAGCTCGGAGTGCTGAACCGAAACCAAGATTTCATAAGTACTTAGTTTGAAAGTCAAATTAAAAAAAAATCCAAAAAATTGTCATATCATTATTTCATTGGACATTTCTAGAAAGATGTTGGGAGTTTTTGAAAAAATGTCGCCCAAAGTAACTTCTGGATATCAAAATCTACAGAAAAATCTTTGGCCGATTTTCGAGTATGGTAAAAAATATTGAAATTTTCGTAAGAAAGAGTATTCAAAAATTGTCCTTTTGAAAAAGTTTCCAAAAAATCTACAAAAAATTCTGGGATGTAGAATTTGCTGTGTTGATTGGAAAAATATAGGATCCTTGTGGTCTTCGAACAAGATTTTAGAAACATTCGGTTTGAAAATCAAATTTTTAAAGTCCTAAAAATTGTCATATTTCGCTGGACAATTCCAGAAAAATGCTAGGAGTTTTTGACGAAACACAGCCGAAAGTAACTTCTGGAGATCAAAATCTTAAACAAATCTATTTGGACAACTTTCGAAGTGATCGAAAAAAATCGAAATTTTCCTAAGAAGAGTACTGAAAAATTGAGCTTGAAAAGTTCTCTAAAAATCCTCAAAAAATTCTAAAAAATTGTGATATTTCATGAGGCAATTCTGGAAAAAATCTAGTCTTTGAAGAAATACCGCCGCGATAGAAATCTACAAAAAAAATATCTGGGCAATTTTCGAATGTGATTGGAAAAAAATCGAAATTTTCATAAGGGGAGAAAATATTGAAAAGTAGAGCTTTTAAAAAATTCTCTAAAAGTCTATAAAAATTCTGGGATATAAAGCTCGAAGTGGTGATCTGAAAAATACAGCATACCTTATTTATGGTCAACGACCAAGATTTCATAAGTATTTGGTTTGAAAGTCATATTTTTAAAAAATCAAAATAATTGTCATATTTCTAGAAAGACGTTGGGAGTTTTTGAAAAAATGTCGCCGAAAGTGACTTCTGGACGTCGAAATCTACAGAAAAATCTTTGGTCGATTTTCGAATATGATAAAAAAAATTGAAATTTACATAAGGAAGAGTATTCAAAAATTGTCCATTTGTAAAAGTTTCCCAAAAATCTAAAAAAAATTCTGGGATATAGAATTTGGTGTGCTGGTTCGAAAAATGTAGCATCTTTATGGTCTCCGAGCAAGATTTTAGAAACATTCGCTGTGAAAATCAAATGTTTAAAGTCCTAAAAATTGCCATATTTCAATGGACAGTTCTGGAAAAATACTAGGAGTTTTTGACGGAACACACCCGAAAGTAACTTCTGGAAATCGAAATCTACAAAAAATCTATTTGGACAACTTTCGAATGTGATCGAAAAAAATCGAAATTTTCCTAAGAAGAGAGTACTGAAAAATTGAGCTTGAAAAGTTCTCTAAAAATCCACAAAAAGTACTAAAAAATTGTGATATTTCATGAGGCAATTCTGGAAAAAATCTAGTCTTTGAAGAAATGCCGCCGAGGTAGAAATTTACAAAAAAAATCTCTGGGCAATTTTCGAATGTGGTCCGAAAAAAATTGAAATTTTCATAAGGGGGGAGGATAGTGAAAAGTTGAGCTTTTGAAAAATTCTCTAAAAATCCATAAAAATTCTGGGATATAAAGCTTGGAGTGCTGATCTGAAAAATGCATCATATTTATGGTTAACGACCAAGATTTCATAAGTATTCGGTTTGAAAGTCATATTTTTAAAAAATCCAAAACATTGTCATATTTCTAGAAAGACGTTGGGAGTTTTTGAAAAAATGTCGCCGAAAGTGACTTCTGGATATCGAAACCTACAGAAAAATCTGGCCGATTTTCGAATATGGTAAAAAAATTGAAATTTTCATAAGGAGGATTATTCAAAAATTGTCCTTTTGAAAAAGTTTCCCAAAAATCTACAAAAAATTCTGGGATATAGAATTTGGTGTGCTGATTCGAAAAATAGAGCATCTTTATGGTCTCCGAGCAAGATTTTAGAAACATTCGTTTTGAAAATCAAATTTTTAAAGTCCTAAAAATTGCCATATTTCACTGGACAGTTCTGGAAAAATGTTCGGAGTTTTTGACGGAACACACCCGAAAATAACTTCTGGAAATCGAAATCTACAAAAAATCTACTTGAGCAACTTTCGAATGTGATTGACAAAAATCATAATTTTCGTAAGAAGAGAGTAATGAAAAATTAAGCTTGAAAAGTTGTCTAAAAATCTACAAAAAGTCCCAAAAAATTGTCATATTTCATGGGAAATTATGGAAAAATTCTAGTTTTTGAAGAAATGCCACCGAAAGTAATTTCTGGAGGTAAAAATATACAAAAAAATCTATTGTCAATTTTCGAATGTGGTTGGAAAAAAATCGAAATTTTCATAAGGGGAGAGAGAATATTGAAAAATTGAGCTTTTGAAAAATTCTCTACAAATCCATAAAAAATTCTGCGATATAAAGCTCGGAGTGCTGATCTGAAAAATACAGCATAATTAGGTCAACGACCAAGATTTCATAAGTATTCGGTTTGAAAGTCAAATTTTTACAAAAACCAAAAAATTGCCATATCATTAATTCATTGGCCATTTCTAGAAAAACGTTGGGAGTTTTTCAAAAAATGGTGCCGAAAGTAACTTCAGGATGTCGAAATCTACAAAAAAATCTTTGGTCGATTATTCAAAAATTGGCCTTTTGAAAAAGTTTCCCAAAAATCTAAAAAAAATTCTGGGATATAGAATTTGGTGTGATGGGCAACTTCTAAATGTGAACAAAAAATCGAAATTTTCTTAAGAAGAAAGTACTGAAAAATGAGCTTGAAAATTGCTCTAAAAATTCACAAAAAGTCCTAAAAAATTGTCATATTTCCTGAGGCAAGTTTGGGAAAAATCTAGTTTTTGAAAAAATGCCACCGAAAGTATCTTCTGGAGGTAGAAATATACAAAAAAAATATATGGTCAATTTTCGAATGTGGTCGGAAAAAAATTGAAATTTTCATAAGGGGAGGATATTGAAAAATTGAGCTTTTGAAAAATTCTCTAAAAATCTATAAAAAATTCTGGGATACAAAGCTCGAAGTGCTGATCTGAAAAATACAGCATAAGTAGGTCACCGACCAAGATTTCATAAGTATTCGGTTTGAAAGTCAAATTTTTAATAAATCCGAAATATTGCCATATTTCATTGGGTAAATCTGGAAAATTCTAGGAGTTTTTGGAGATATGCCACCGAAAGTAAATTCTGGAGGTTGAAATCTGCAAAAACTCTCTTTGGGCAATTTTCGAATGTGGTTAAAAAAATCAAAATTTTCATAAAGAAGAGTATTGAAAAATTAAACTTTTCAAAAGGTTACGTAAAAATACACAAAAAATTCACTGGGCAATTCTGGAAAAATGTTAGCTTTTGAAGAAATGCCACCGAAAGTAAATCTGTTTGGAAAATTTTTGAATTAGACTTAAAAAATTGAGCTTTTGAAAAAGTTCCATAAAAGCCCACAAAAAATTCTGGGATATACGTTCCTTAAAAAGCGAATTTTTAAAATAAACAATACATACAAAGTTGTGGTGCACTTATCATTGTACTCTTTAGATAATAAAACTGATATATAAAAGATAATAATTAATAAACAATGTCGAAGTTCTAAAATCATTCACAAAATTTACCAAGTTAATTTTATTTACATTAAATAAAAGAAGAAAACTGTTTTTGCATACATTTTATTTATTTAGCCAAATTTCGCAATAGTCATTTTATTTCTTTATTCACTTGTATTTTTCACATTTCACATTTTCAATTTTTTATATTATTTATCATTTCGATCAAGAACAATAAAATTCTGTAGTACATTTTCATGTTTGAGAAAATTAAGTTTAACCGTGGCTTTTAAAATATACACGTATTACAAATTGTTGTCCACACCGAAAATATACCAAAAAATTTACGAAATATTAATTTTAAAAAAACGCGTTTTTTCTAATTAAAAACTCAGTATTAAGTGTAAAATTATGGTACTCAGCCTTGACATTTCCAGTTTCAGAAAATATAAATTAATTATGTTTATTTTCTCTTCCAGCATTCCTGCATTTTAGTTGTTCACTTATTATAACCAAGTACGATTTCACTGTCATGTAAAGAATTTTTAATTAAATGTTTATATAAAACAAAAAATTGAACAAAAATCACTCACAGGCGACAAAATCAAATACCTATCGGGCTGTACTGTGGTAAAAAATAAGCTCCTTTTAACTCCGATTTAATCGGAACATTGAAGGAAAAAAATAATTTAAATCACTGTGCATTGGAAAAAAAAAATCCAAGTAAAGCAAATCATTGATTTTCAAAATTTTGCAACTACCATCGAGCAAATGTGTTCACACTTTAATAAAAAACCCCGAAATAAATTTCCTTGCTCGAAACACGCCATCATAAAACAAAATTTGTCAATTTGGAGCGGCGTGCATTAATGGTGGATGCGCCGGGTCTAACAATCTCCCTTTACAGCCAAGGAACCCAGCAATAAAAAACTATCGGGCTCGCTCTATGGCAACCATTCGAGAAAGCAATCGGCGGTAAGTTTCCCCATCTCGAGTTCATCAAACTGAATTTGCAATTTCCAGAGCTATCGTCCTCGCACGAGTAGTTTCTTTAGTTCAAGTACGGAAGAGCCGAGTGCAGTGGCAAGCTCGACGTTGTCGCTGCACGACGCCGACCAGAGCAAAAAACAAATCAAACAAAGGCTGACGGCGTTCTTCGGCAACAGCAAAGTAAGTCGAGATGCCTCCACATTCCTTCCCGCACAAAGCCCTATTATTATTGCAGGACACAAAATACGAGGCCCTCATCGACCAGTTGGACAAGTATTCCAAGCAGGGCATACCCAACAACGCGAGTTATCCCACTGGTCAGTGTCCCGAAGTGGACGCCCTCCACAATCTCGAAGACGACTGGAGGGAAATCGTCGATTACAGCGGTAAGTCGCGTTAACGCGTCACCTAGTTCCAGATATCAATTGAAAAGTCGGCGACGTGTTGAAATTCCGATCAAAGATTTGCGCCCTGGGGTAAAATTTGACTCGGGTATTGAGATTTATTTGCGATGCCGACAGAAAGAACAAAGGGACGGGTCCACCGGCACTTAGTCAATTTATAAAAAATTGGAATTTATTCACTTCGGGAGGGAGTTCGCTTCCTTGCGCAATATTCCACTTCGGTAAATTTTCTAATTTCGTCGATTATCTGGCGGAAACGGTTTACTTTCGTGCTAGTTAAGCCGGATTGAAGCTTTAGGTGTATTTTTAGATAATACATCACAACAGCAACGATATTTTTTTATGAAATATTCATTTTCTCATTTAGGTGGTGGAATTGTGCCCACTGATGCATTTAAGAAACTTGAAATTCTGTTCCAACGTCGCACTCTTTACAAACGTCTTGTCAGATTTTATTTCAACTGTTCTTGAAGAAAAACTAATTCTAAAATTAAAAATTATCTACTAGGAAGTAAAATTAAATTTGTATTTATTTTGTAAATCTGGAACAAAAATTTTTTATAGAAGTCTGCGCTTAAAAATTCAACATAAAAAACTTAAGATTTTTTTTTGATAATAATTATATTTCTTCATCCCCACCAAGAATTTTATTGCATCATCTCAAAATTTTGCTGGATAAATCCCATATCAATTCTACAAAATAATACTGCTCGATATTTATGTCTATTTTTTGGATAAAATTAAAAAAAAAATTATAATTTAACTTTTAAACTACAAAACCGGCTGCTTTGAAATTTTCCAAAAACTGACGTCGTCGTCTCAAAATTTTTTCATATCAAGCCTATCTAAAATGTACAATATAGAAAATATGCCTAAATGTATATATTTTCTTGAATTGTTTATACAAGATGTCTTCAAAAAATCAACATCTTCTCGTCACAGGTGGAGTAGAATTGCGGCTTTGTGCGTGATCCGCTCGTCGCCACTCCGTACTCGGCATAATGGCGATCGTGAGCATAAGTGCAATTCGTAAATCGTCTTGATCCTCTCATGTCGGGTGGACTGGAATTGCGTCTCTCTGTGTTATCCGCTCGTCGTACCTACACTTATATTTCTCTTAACTTATAGGAATTAGCAAAACAAAATAAAACTGGCAGCACCAAATTTTATAATGTGCCTGTGGAACTGGATTTGTTTGATTGTGCTTCAAGGGCGAGGGGAATTTTGTCTAAATAATTGTAAATCAATTTTTTCGGTACATCCACGACTTTGTCATTTACTCAGTTGTTTTGTAGGATTTTATTATTAACTTTCACACATTATCTCTATTGTTATAACTTCTACCGTAAAAGATTGTTATCTGTTTAGTACATTTCCTAATTTGCTATTTTTAGGGCGTACTTGCTTGTTTGTAACTTTATTTATTAGTTTCTTTCTTGTGTTTTATTTATGATGCTCTGGTAGCGCGTTTTTGGTTTTTGTTGCCAATATTTTTTTACGAAATGCGAAATAATGCAATTTTTGGCTTCTTTCTCACTTAAAACCAGATTCTATTTTCAACTCCATTTCTTCCACTATATGCGCTTCACTCGAATTTCTGCTTCTGTAATTATCTTATCTCCAAACCGAAAATTTTCTTGGATTTTAGTGATTCTACATTTTACATGTTTCTACGATTTTTTGCAAATATTTTCACAATTTCAGTATTTTCTTCCAGTCCTTAAATTTTTTTTTCACAGAATATTCTCCTTTGTCCTCAAGGTTTGAAATATCTACAGAATTATTAAGTGTGAAACAGGTATTTATAGTTTCTAGACGTCTTTTCCCTTCGATTTATTTCTTTGTTAATTTTTTATCTTTTTTACCACCATCTTTACCCTCTTCGTTTTTATTTGAAATTCTCCCTCTATGTAGGGTTTTAATTGAATCTAACAAAGTAAAAAAGTACAAAAGCAAACAAATCCTCGACGTCCCCGATTATTTTAATTTCTAAACCGCCATTAAAAAGAATAACAAAAGCACAAAGACTTGCATTTCAGGAAATTTTTGCAAACAAAATTTGTTTCAATTAATTAGACGTCATCAAATTTCTGGAGGAAATGAATAAATAACCGAGCAACCGAATATTAATGCTATACCCCGTGACGCCTTGCCGTTGAAGTAAATTTAAGTAAATTTCGGGCAATTCTGAATTTTGAGAATTTTCAAAATTTCAAACATTTAGAATCGAATTTCCATTCTTGAATAGACTTTTTCAGTTTTTTATACTTAATGTTTTAATTTTTATAACCTTTGTGATTTTTGACATTATGAAGTATCCAAAATTTTTTGAATCTTATAACTTTTTTTCAATTTTCTAGTTTAATATTTGTGTTTTTTTTTTCAAATTCTAATATAAAAAATTAATCTTTCGAAATGTTTAAGTTACTTGAATTCGTGCCATTTTTGAACTTCTGGATTTTTGGAATTTTAAAGTTTCCAAATTTTTGAAACTGATGGAAGTTCTAAATTTTCTAGTTTTTTAAAATTTTCAAAATTTCAAACATTTTTATCATTTTTGGAATCTGTGCAGTTTTAGAATTCCCATTCTTGAATTCTTGGCCATTAAAAACAAAATCAAAAGCACAACGACTTGCATTTCAGGAAATTTTTGCAAACAAAATTTGTTTCAATTAATTTGACGTCATCAGATTTCTGGGGGGAATGAATAAATAATCAAGCAACGGAAAATTAATGCTATGCCGTTGCAGTAATTTGAATAAATCTCGGGGATCTTTCTGTGTACTGTTTTTGAAGCAATTTGAAAGAATTTCGGAGACCGCTTGTATCTTGTTTTTAAAGTAATTCGAAAGAATCTCGGGGACTCCTTGTGGGTCTTGTTTTTGAAGTAACGTGAAAGAATTTCGTGGATCCCTTGGATTTTGTTTTTAAAGTAGTTTGAATTAAAGAATCTCGGGGGTCCATTTCTTATTTTCGAAGTAATTTAAAAAATCTGGGGGACCCATTGTGTCTGGTTTTTGAAATAGTTTGAAAGCATCTCGAGCACTCCTTGCGTTTTTAAGTAATGTTAAAGAATCTCGCGTACCCCTTGGGTTTTATTTTTGAAGTAGTTTGAAGGAATTTTGAACGTCCCTTTCTTATTTTTGAGGTAATTTGAACGAATCTGGAGGATCCCTTGTGACTTGTTTTTGAAGTAGTTTGAACGTACCTAGAGGACCCCTCGTGTTTTGTTTCTGAATTAATGTGAAAGAATCTCGTGGACCCATTGGGTTTTGTTTATAAAGTAGTTTGAAAGAATCTCGGGGGTCCTTTTCTTATTTTTGAAGTAATCTGAAAGAATCTGGGGGTCCCCTGTGTCTGGTTTTTGGAGTAGTTTGAAAGCATGTCGAGCATTCTTTGCGTTTTGTTTTTGAAGTAATGTGAAAAAATTTCATGGACCCCTGAGGTTTTGTTTATGAAGTACTTACATAGTTTGGAGGAATTTCGGGGGTCTCTTTCTTATTTTCGAAGTAATTTGAACGAATCTGGGGGACACCTTGTGACCGGTTTTTGAAATTGTTTGAAAACATCTCAAGGACCCCTTGTGTTTTGTTTTTGAAGTAATTTAAAAGAATCTTTTGGACCCCTAAGATTTTATTTTTGAAGTAGTTTGTAAAAATTTTGAGGATCCCTGTCTTATTTTTGAAGTAATTTGAAAGAATCTAGAGGACCCCTTGTGTTTTGTTTTTGAAATAATATGAAAGAATCTCGTGAACTCCTTGGGTTTTGTTTTTAAAGTAGTTTGAAAGAATGTCGGGGGTCCCTTTCTTATTTTTGAAGTAATTTGAGAGAATCTGGGGATCCCTTGTGTCTGGTTTTTGAACTAGTTTGAAAGCATCTCGAGCACTCCTGGCGTCTTGTTTTTGAAGTAATGTGAAAGAATTTCGTGGATCCCTGGGGTTGCGTTTTTGAAGTACATAGTTTAAAAGAATCTCGGCGATCCCTTTTTTATTTTCGAAGTAATTTGAAAGTATCTACAGGATCTCTTTTGAAGTAATGTGAAAAAATCTTGTGGACTCCTTGAGTTTTGTTTTTAAAGTAGTTCGAAAGAATCTCGGGGGTCCCTTTCTTATTTTTAAAGTAATTTGAAAGAATCTGGGGGACCCCGTGTGTCTGGTTTTTGGAGTAGTTTGAAAGCGTCGAGCACTCCTTGTGTTTTGTTTTGAAGTAATGTGAAAGAATCTCGTGTCCTCCTTGGGTTTTATTTTTGAAGTAGTTTAAAGGAATCTCGAGTGTCCTTTTCTCTTTTTTGAGGTAATTTGAACGAATCTGGGGGACCCCTCGTGACTGGTTTTTGAAGTAGTTTGAAAGTGCCTAGAGGACACCTCGTGTTTTGTTTCTGAATTAATGTGAAAGAATCTCGTGAACTCCTTGGGTTTTGTTTTAAAGTAGTTTGAAAGAATGTCGGGGGTCCATTTCTTATTTTTGAAGTAATTTGAAAGAATCTGGGGATCCCTTGTGTCTGGTTTTTGAACTAGTTTGAAAGCATCTCGAGCACTCCTGGCGTTTTGTTTTTGACGTAATGTGAAAGAATTTCGTGGATCCCTGGGGTTGCGTTTTTGAAGTACACAGTTTAAAAGAATCTCGACAGTCCCTTTTTTATTTTCGAAGTAATTTGAAAGAATTTGGTGGACTCCTTGTGTCTGGTTTTTGAAGTAGTTTGAAAGTACCTACAGGATCTCTTTTGAAGTAATGTGAAAAAATCTTGTGGACTCCCTGGGTTTTGTTTTTAAAGTAGTTCGAAAGAATCTCGGGGGCCCTTTCTTATTTTTGAAGTAATTTGAAAGAATCTGGGGGACCCCGTGTGTGGTTTTAGTAGTTTGAAAGCGTCGAGCACTCCTTGTGTTTTGTTTTGAAGTAATGTGAAAGAATCTCGTGTCCTCCTTGGGTTTTATTTTTGAAGTAGTTTGAAGGAATCTCGAGTGTCCTTTTCTCTTTTTTGAGATAATTTGAACGAATCTGGGGGACCCCTCGTGACTGGTTTTTGAAGTAGTTTGAAAGTGCCTAGAGGACACCACGTGTTTTGTTTCTGAATTAATGTGAAAGAATCTCGTCAACTCCTTGGGTTTTGTTTTAAAGTAGTTTGAAAGAATGTCGGGGGTCCATTTCTTATTTTTGAAGTAATTTGAAAGAATCTGGGGATTCCTTGTGTCTGGTTTTTGAAGTAATGTGAAAAAATTTCGTGGATCCGTGGGGTTGCGTTTTTGAAGTACAGAGTTTAAAAGAATCTCGGCGGTCCCTTTTTTATTTTCGAAGTAATTTGAAGGAATCTGGTAGACTCCTTGTGTCTAGTTTTTGAAGTAGTTTGAAAGTATCTACAGGATCTCTTTTGAAGTAATGTGAAAAAATCTCGTGGACTCCTTGGGTTTTGTTTTTAAAGTAGTTCGAAAGTCCCCTTCTTATTTTTGAAGTAATTTGAAAGAATCTGGGAGATCCCTTGTGTCTACTTTTTGGAGTAGTTTGAAAGCGTCTCGGGCACTCCTTGCGTTTTGTTTTTGAAGTAATGTGAAAGAATTTCGTAGACCCCTGAGGTTTTGTTTTTGAAGTACATGGTTTGAAAGAATCTCGGAGGTCCCTTTCTTATTTTCGAAGTATTTTAAAGAATCTGGGGGACCCCTTGTGTCTGGTTTTTGAAGTAATGTGAAAGAATCTCATGTCCTCCTTGGGTTTTATTTTTCAAGTAGTTAAAAGGAATCTCGGGGGTCCCTTTCTTATTTTTGAGATAATTTGAACGAATCTGGGGGATCCCTTGTGACTGGTTTTTGAAATTGTTTGAAAGCATCTCACGGACCCCTTTTGTTTTTGAAGTGATGTGAAAGAATGTCGTTGACCCCTTGGGTTGTATTTTTGAAATAGTTTGAAAGTATCTACAGGACCCCTTGTGCATTGTTTTTGAATTAATGTGAAAGAATCTCGTGGACTCCTTGGGTTTTATTTTTGAAGTAGTTTGAAAGAATCTCGGGGATCCCTTTCTTATTTTTGAAGTAATTTGAAAGATTCGGGGGAATCCCTTGTGTCTGGTTTTCGAAGTAATTTGAAAGCATATCAAGGACTTCTTGTGTTTTCTTTTTGAAGTAATATGAAAGAATCTCTTGAAACCTTTGGGTTTTATTTTTGAAGTATGTAGTTTGAAGGAATCTCGGGGGTCCCTTTCTTATTTTTGAAGTAATTCGAAAGAATCTGGGGCACCCCGTGTGTCTACTTTTTAAAATAGTTTGAAAGCATCTCAAGGACCCCTTGTGTTTTGTTTTTGAAGTAATGTGAAAGAATCTCGTGGATCCCTTGGGTTTTGTTTTTAAAATATTTCGAAAGAATCTCGGATATCCCTTCCTTGTTTTTGAAGTAATTTGAAAAATCTGGGGACCTCTTGTGTCTGGTTTTTAAAGTAGTTTGAAAGCTCTGGGGGACCTCTTGTGAAAACACAACAGTTTTCGAAGTAATTTGAAAGAATCTCGGGGATCCTTTGTCTTGTTTTTGAAGTAATTTGAAAAAATCTTGGGGAACCCTTGTGTCTTGTTTTTGAAGTAGTTTGAAAGAATTTCGGGGATTCCTTGTTTTGTTTCTGAAATAATTTGAAAGAATTTCGGAGTTCCGTGACCTGGGACAAATAGGATCTACTGAACCAGGATGCGAAAAATTTAGACCGGTGCCTGAAAGGCTGAAATTTTATATAAAAATATATAAAAATTTAAAAAATCTGTTACCTAGATTTTATAGAATATGGAATGAGTAATATTTGATTTAGGTGTAAAGAATAAACAGCTCACATTATAATTTTCACCTGAGATTAACTTCACAAAATTTTGAGATGACGTCATCAATTTTTCGGATGGAGCAAATTTAACAATTCACGTTTCTTGAACAATAATTATTTATTAAATATTTTGGTTGTCATTTTTACAACTACTGTGTCACCAACACTTTATGGAAGCCGAAAATAAAAGAAATAAAAATCCTACCCTTGTCAAACGAACTAAATGTAATTATCTTTGTTCGTAACACAAAAAACCAAATGATATTAAAGACCACTTGATGCATCCCCGATATGATAACTTTAAGAATAACAACGAAAAGAAGCGACATTTCTTCGAAACATTAACTTGATGAACTTCCAAGAATTTATCCCGTCGTTTTTCATTGTCACCGAATTCAATTTACATTTCTGGAGAAACGAAACAATGCAGATTCATTCATAATTCAGGTACCTAAACAAAAAACCTTAAATGTCCGTCATTAAGTTGCTAAGCGACTGTGTCGGAGAACCTCGAAAATCCGCTACAGCATCAATAAATTGAATAAAGCGGCGCTCTGTAATATTCACGATACTGCGCTCCTTCTACCAATAACGTTATTTTTTTTCTCTACTTTGTTATAACTGTCGCCTTTTGAGTCACGTCCGACTTTCCCTCTCGCTGCGCCTCGTTCCAATTAAATAAAACTGTCTCGCGAGCTCATTACAGCCTCGCTTCTGATGAAAGGACAGAACAAAGCTAGTAAAGATAAAAATATCGGAGATATTCTTACACAACTTACCCTCCCCTAGAAAGTTAGTCATCTAAGTGAATTAAACACAGTAAAGCTTTTTGACTTTCAGGGAAATCGCGGCAAAGTTTGACCCTTTTAAGAGAATTATTCAAATTACAAATTGATCCGTTGCCCTCAAAGAAAGCGCCAAGAATTTCAATTAATTATTTTAGCACTGGGATAATCCTGTAGTAAGTCGAGAACCGGCACGAAATGCTCTCCCATGTGTATTGATTCGAACCTCAAAGAAATTTTAAAACGATCTGTGACATTACACAAATGGAACGACTTTATTACGTTGTAAAATAAAAAGTCGGGATGTGTTCTGAGATGTACGCGTAAAACGAAAATAATGTAAAATTACTTACGACTCCATATATCAACTTTTAAGTATTTTATAAGGAAGTTATTGGCGGAGTGGTAGCTATAAATTTATTTTTTTTTCTTTTATTGTTATTTTCAGATCTTAGCGAAAAACAGCAACAGCAGCAAACTGCCTTGTGGGAACTGATAACGAGCGAAGTTTCCTACATCAGGACGTTAAAAGTCGTCACGGATGTAAATATTGAAGTCGGCCATTTAGCTCCTTATCAATTGACACATGTTTCAGTTGTTTCTTGCGTGCTTGAAGGACCTTCAGTCGCACAAGCTCCTCACCGAAATAAACACCGACAAGCTCTTCTCGAACATAACGGAAATTTTGGAGTCGAACGTGACGTTCTGGCGAAACACGTTGTTCCCTTTGATAAAAGACATGCGACAACGCAAACGTACGACCTGCATCGAAAACATGCTGGAAGGGTTCTCCTCGATCCACGAGACATTCCAGCCGTATTATAAGTACTGCGCTGAACAGTCGAGGTGTCAGCACTACTGCAGGGAGAACATGGACAGCGAGGTGTTCACGGCATACCTGACGTGGTGCGAGAGCCAGAAGGAATGCAACAGATTGCGATTGATGGACATCTTGGTCCAACCCATGCAAAGACTGACAAAATATGGCCTTCTTTTGAAAGCGATTCTCAAAAACACGGACGAAGACGTGGAGCGGGAGAGTCTACAGACGATGGTGAGTATTCGAGAAAAACGCGATAAAATTGAACGATGCCGTAATGAATTTATTATTTTCTAAAGTTAAATTTTTTTGGAAACTCGCAATCAAAAATATCGAAATTTATTGATTATAACTTTCACATACACGCAAACATTTTTTTAACGTTCAATCAAATTAAAAAAAAAATCAAAATTTACGATTCGCAGTACACACCGGCAGTTTATCATTTAGAATTTTTAAACTTCGTTAGAACGACTAAAACACGTTAATTGTCGAATATTTTTGGAACCTTAAGATTTGACAAATCAAAAAATTTTAAACTTCAGAAATTTTGGGCAATTCTGAATTTTTGGGAATTCTCAAGATTTCAAGCATTTTTGCTATTTGAAATCGAATTTCCATTCTTTAATAGATTTTTTCAGTTTTTTTAAATATAATTGTTGTAACATAATATGTAATTTACGCAGTTTTCGCAATTATTTACGTCGTTGGAATTTCTGAAAATGTTAAACTTCTTGTGATTTTTGACATTATGAAGTATCCAAAATTTTTAGAATCGTATACCTTTCTTTTAAATATTCTAGTTTAACATTTTATTTTTTTCCAAATTCTAACATAAACAATTAATCTTTTGAAATGTTTGAGTTGTTTGAATTCTTGTCACTTTTGCACTGCCGGATTTTTAGAATTTTAAAGTTTCCAAATTTTTTAAACTTCTAAATTTTCTAGTTTTTAGAAATTTTCAAAATTTCAAACATTTTTACCATTTTTTGGAATCTATGGAGTTTTGGAATTTCCAGTCTTGGATAGATTTTTGGAAAATTTAGGTTTTTATCATTTTGAATCATTTTATTTATTTTCGTAATTTTTTGAATTGTTGAAGACGGTGGAATTTCTAGGCCTCAGAGGTTTATTTACGACTCATTTGGAGTCCTAGAAATTCTAACATAAAAAATTTTAAAAACTGTAGAATTTTTGTTACTTTTGGAACTTCTCGATTTTTGGAATTTTTAAATTTCTACATTTGAATTTTCTAGGAATTTTAGAAATTATCAATAATTTTAAAGCATTTTTACTATGCATGGAGTTTTACAATTTCTATTCTTGGATAAATTTTTGCAAATTTTAAGATTTCATAATTGTTTAATTACTAAAGCTTTTTCTTTAAGAATTTCTGAAAATATTAAACTTTTTATAATTTGGGGCATTATGAAATTTCCAAAATTTGTAGAATCTTTAAAGATTTTTAGAAGTTACTATTTTTCAACATTTTGGAATTCTTAGGCCTTGTGTTTAACTACTGACGACCCTTGAAAAAAATATTTTGAAATTTTAAAATGTTTCGAATTTTTGTCATCTTGAAATGTTTAATTTGTTTGAATTCTGGTCACTTTTGGATTTTTGGAATTTTAAAGTTTCCAGATTTTTGAAACTTATGGAAGTTTAAGTTTACCAGTTTTTAGAAATTTTCAAAATTTCAAACATTTTTAACATTTTTAAATTCTATGGAGTTTTAGAATTTCCGTTCTTGGATAGATTTTCGGAAAATTTTGGTTATTATCATCTTTGTTATTGCATTTTGCTATTTATTTATTTATCGCAATTTTTTAAATTATTGGAGACGTTGAAATTTCAAAATTCTAACAAAAAATATTTTAAAATTTCTAAATTTGGATTTTCTAAGAATTCCTAGAAATTTTCAAAAAATCAAGCATTTTTACTATTTTTGGAATCTAATTTTCATAATTTTTGAATTACTGGAACTTTTATTATTTTCGCAACTTTTGGAATTTCTGAAAATATTAAAAATATGAAGTGTCCAAAATTTCCTATTTTTCGACTTTTTGGAATTTTTAGACCTTAGAGGTGTTTAACTATTGACGACTCTTTTGCAGTTCTCGAAAATCTAAAATAAAAAAATATTTAGAAATTTTAGACTTTTAGAATTTGTCATTTTTGAAACTTCCGTATTTTCGGAATTTTGGAGTTTCTAGATTTTTGACACTTATAGAAGTCCTGAATTTTCTAAGAGTTTTTAAATTTCAAGCGCTTTTACTATTTTTATTATCGATTAATTTTTCGAATTTTCATCCTTGGATAAATTTTTGTAAATTTTAAATTTTCGTAATTTTTGAACTACTAAAGTTTTATAATTTTGGCAATTTTTGGAATTGTTTAATTGGTTGGAATTTTTGACATTATGAAGTACATATCTGCAATTTATAGAATCTTTAGTTTTTTGGAAATTTCTAGTTTATGGAATTAGTGGAGTTTTCGAAATTCCACTTTTCAAAAAATATACATATGTATTTTGGAAAACTGTTAGAATTTTTGTCATTTTTGGAACTTCTCTGGATCTTCACAGTTTTAAAGTTTCTATATTTTTTACACTTATGTAAGCATTTTTACTATTTTTTGGAATTTATGGAATTTTCGAAATTCCATTCTTGAACAGATTTTTGCAAATTTTGAAATTACAACTTTTGTCACTTTTATAACTTGTGGATTTTTTGAATTTTAGAGTTTGTAGATTTTTGATACTTGACGTAAGTTTTGAATTTTCTAGTTTTTAGAAATTTTCAAAGTTTCAAACATTTTTAATGTTTTTGGAATCTATGGAATTTTCGAATTTTCATTCTTGAACAGATTTTTGAATTTTCTACTTTTTAGAAATTTTCAAAATTTCAAACATTTTTATTATAACATTCCAGTTTGTGAACTTTTTTTGTCATTTTCGCAATTTTTGGAATTAAAAGACGTTAGGACTTACTAAAAGAACTTTAACTATGTAATGAGTGCCCTTTTGGAGTTTTCGAAATTCAAATACATATTTTGAAATTTTGAAATTACAATATTTGTCACTTAGAATTTGTGGATTTTTGGAATTTAAAAGTTTCTAGATTTTTGACACTTGCGTAAGTTTCGAATTTACTAAGAGTTTTTAGAAATTTCCAAAGTTTTAAGCATTTTTACTATTTTTGGAATCTTTTGAACTAACAATTCCATTCTTGAACAGATTTTTCCAAATTTTAAATGATTATAGCATTTCAGTTTGTAGAACTTTTGCAATTTTCGCAATTTTTGAATTTGTTGAAGACGTTGTAATTTCTGAAAGAAGTTAGTACTAAACTTTTTGTAATTTTTGGCATATGATATCGGAAATTTGTAGTATGTTTATAATTTTTTAGAATTGTCTAGTCCAATCGAATTTTTTAAATTTCTATGACTTACTAAAATAACTTTAATTATTTGTAACTTTTAGAACTTATGGATTTTGGAATTTTAAAGTTTCTAGTTTTTTGACGCTTATGACAGTTCTGAATTTTTTCGATTTTAGAAAATTGCAGAGTTTCAAGTATTTGCGTTATTTTCGGAATCTATGAGGTTTTCGAATTTTCATTCTTTAAGAAATTTTAGCAATTTTTAATTTTCTGGAATTACTGAAAACCTTTTTGTAATTTTTGACGTAATGACAGGTGTTTTAATATTTACGGCCATTTTAGAGTTTCTGAATATGCTGTGTTGAAAATGTTAAAGTTTCCAAATTTTTCAATACATTTGGAAGTTTTGAATTTTTTAGTAGTTTTTAGAAATTTTGTTATTGAAGTTTTCAGACTTAGAACTATTATGATATTGAAACATTTTAAGTATGTATATATTTTTTTAATCAACAACTTGATACCTAAAATTCTGTAACTACTATACAGGGTGTTTCTTTTATTTGATACAACCCCAGTAACGTTTTGATTTTCAAAGATAAACCTGTTGTTCTTGAGGCAAATTTGTATCATTGTACAAGATGGTAACATTTTTATTATCTGTTCCGGTAGAACCGGAAATGACGTTAACTTTTTTTTTAATGGAATGATTGATTTTTTTCTAAAAATCAAAACCAATCAATATTCTAAAATCAATACTTGAAAAGTTATTCAATAAAATAGACGAAAAATTAATTTTTAATTTATTGATGACAATCTAGTAGCTTGAAAAATTGGCACTCATATCATTTATTCACATAAGTAATGTTTATCTTTAAAAATAAAAAAATTACAGGGGTTGTTTATGTATAAAAGAAACACGTGGCATACGATATAATCTTTTCTGTTGTTTTGTAAAATACAGAATGATGCAAAAATGATGGATAACCTCGACATATATCGAATTACCAAGGCAATTCTTCAACTTTGAAGTCTAAATTTTGTTCAGGGATTTGTTTAACCATTTTTTTTTCGAGTTTTTCAGAGCCTTTTTAACAACGTACCGTCGAGCTTATGCGCCATTTTTTATCACCCTGTATATATTATTAAAATTTTCGACGTTTGGCGTGGATTAGTTTAGAACAATTTTTAAGTTTTTTGTAATATTAAGATTGAGTGTAATGCTACGGATAAAAACATGGTACTTTTTTTGAAAAACACCAAGAACTAGCGAATGAATGGTCAAATATCTAAAAGAAAAATTAAAATGTTGAAGTCGTCTACATTTGCGCCCAAGGGTTATTTAAATTATTTTTTCTTTGCTCAATAAACAATCCTTAACAACGTGTCATAGAATCAGTGCACCACATTTGAACCAGCCTATATGTATATATAACTTGTATATATTAAAGTTCCATATATACTGCGCGTAAAAAGTTAAGAATATTGATAAAAGACATGTTTGTTATTAGTTTTTTTATAATTTGGGAAACAATTGAATAGGCTTAAATTAAATTAATTACGATATCCCTAACTTTTGGCGCGCAGTTTATTATTGTCATTATTTTCGTTTGGCGTGCTTTAGATAATTTAACGTTATTCATTAAATTTGAATTTTTTTCGCCACTGAATTGAAAAATAGGTGATACCTAATTCAGGTGTGCTGAACTCGAGCTTGAGACCCATTTTTCCCGTCACCAAAGGTTTTTGGGAAACCAGCCATTAAATATTAACATTTTATTGATTGTAACTTTCATACGAGTATATACAAATTTCATATTTTGAGGTCAAAACATATAATTTGCACATTCTAAACTTCATTTTTCTTACAATTTTTTTAGTTTTGACTTGTAAAGAGCCCAAAAATTATAAAACTACCGTTTTTACTGATTTATTCCCGACCTCGTCGTGTTAATAACCCTTCAATTTACAGATTAAAATGGTGGACGACTTAGTGATCGACGTTAACGCGAGTTTAAAGCACAAACAAGACAACGAAAGACTGAAAGGGATAATAGCGCGGATAGAAAGTTACGACATTGTGGTAAGAAACCCATACACAACTCTCACACCGATCATCGATTATTTCGCGGTTGCAGGAGACTAAGGACGACGATATTGACAAAATACTAAAAAAAGAGAAATCTTTCACTCACCTCGACTTGACAAGGCCTATGCTGAACTGCCCTGGGGACAGAAAACGCCATCTCTTACTCGAAGGTGATCTGAAACTGAAAGACAGCGGAGCATCAAAAGTGAGTCGTACAAGTCGTGTTTCTGTCGTGTAACAATTTTGTTTCAGTTGGAAGTCCACTGCTTCCTCCTCACTGACATGCTCCTGATTTGCAAGCCCTCAACGAAAAAAGGGGGTGCTACGATGCGCGTAGTGCGTCAACCTTATTTAGTTGATAGGTTAGTTGTATCTGAACTACAAAGAGAAACTCCAAGTTTAGCTGTAATTTACAAGAACGAATTCGATATGGCTGTGGCTGCGTTCATACTCCAGAACAACGACTCGAAGAAATTGAAGGTATTTAACGTTTCGGCGGAACGTGATCCAGAAATCACCCTTCTCATTACAGGGCTGGAAGGACGGGATCGCTAAAGCTCAAGCTTTATACGCTCAAGCGAAACAGACAACGTTCATCCCGGATGAACAGAGTCTCGACGTCGAGTACAGTTTAGAATGTAATCTAGAAAGTGACTATCATAGCCTTCAGTTAGCACCAAGATCTCCTCTTGCTACGTCTTCCCGTGCCAGTAGAGTTTCTAGTCTAGCCCACAGCCACAGGTAAGTTTTTTCGCACGACTAAAGCTCGAACAAATAAATAAAAAAGGAATTCTTATAATAGCTGAAAGGCAAAGGGCTTTGACATAAATTAGAAGCCAAAAAAAGTTTTGGCGTCAGAGCATCAATTTTTCAGGAGAACCCTATCATTTTTTTTTAATGTACAGTCGAATGTTGAAGAAATAAACACTTAAGCTTACCCGATTAATGAACTATTAAGCATAAAAATTTTGAGAGAATTTCAATCGTTTACTTTATATTTACCATACTTTTTCCACATTGTAATAACAGCCGGAACTTCAAAAGATGAATCTTTGCTACCCTTTTTATGAGGAAGCGTTTTTTTGGGGAAATTAATCGTTAAAAACAAGAGAGGATAAAGGACAATTTTTTGTGCAGGTTCAGGGAAGACCATTCGAAAAAAAATTGAATTTCCACATCAAAGTTAATTCGGCTGTAACTTTCCGTGGTTAAAAATAAATTTCCTTTTAGCTATGAGTAAAAAGGAAAACCCTGCGAGTTCCGTGTATAAAAATCTATTATAAAAGTTATATTGTTCGTAATGCTGACTGACAATTGTCGGTGGTGCACAGCTAAACATTTGTAGTAACATACGTAAATTTTTACTTCATTTCGAAGTCCCTTTTATATAAAAATTAAATTATTATTCCACTGGAGTTAATTGATGTAAATTATTGCATCAGTGTCACTTGCTTTCAACATATAAATATATAAATCAGTAGGTTGATTTCACAAAACATAATAATCAGAACTCAAATTTTACCTGTCGCCGAATAATTCTATATCATTCCCATTGCTTATGCATAAAATATGGTGCCCTAAAAAATTGTAATCGAGTTATCCTTGAATACTAAATTCATTTAGTAATAATAATTATCAAGTTACTTGGTTTTTCATTTAATCCCACGTCACCAATTATAAAAAAATTGTTACCAACGCAGAGCCGTGCAATTTTCAGTAATTACATATAAAAGCTCCAAAGAGAACTTGTTTCTTCGTTATTACACTTTTACCATTACCATTTTTCAACGCGGAATATCATTATTTTTTATTTTAATAATAACAGTGCGCTTTATTAAAAACACCCAACGCCATTACCAGACAAAAAATAATGGTTGAAGGTTATTTCGACGGAACTTCCCTCGCCCCTAAAGTACAATAAAACATATAAACATATCTGACTTTTTCGAAATATTATAATTTTTAATTTTGCGAATTTGGAGAATTATGTTAATTTAGAAATTTAAATAATATTTAGGGCCAATTTATACAATATTTTAACTGAGATTAAGCTAATCACGCATTTAACGACGTGTTCAGGGACGTCTGGTAGGTGCCAAAATAAGACTGATTTTGGCAAATAACGGACTCTCTAAGAAAATGAAGGGTGGGTGGGCGTTTCTAGTACTCGCTAAGCTAAGACTTTTTTTGCTAAAGGTTTGTCGTTGTTGATCTACAATTTAAAACCCATACTGACACTTTGATATCTAACTTTTCACAACAGGATAGGAATATAGAATATAGATAGACAGAATCTAGAATTAATTCGAAAATTTTAGCAAAAATTGGAAATCGGTGTGTAATTTTCAACTTTAGATGCATCACCAGACTTCAAGATAGGACAGATCTTAGACTCTTTTGTATGGAAAAAGACGGAAAAAAAGCGAAAAAAAAAAATAACAAAAACTCTAAAAAAAGGTGAAACAAAAAACCCAAAAAGGCAGCAAAAATTAAAAGCGACACAAAAGCGGCACAAAAAATATGAAAAAAACATCGACAAATAAGGAGACAAAAAAAGGGGACAAAGATCCGATTAAAAACAAGGGTGACAAACATGATATCCACATTTTGCCATATATTTCAGAGAAATATTTAGCCCCGCCCACCCACCCATTCTACATTTCATTGATTTCACTTAGCAAAAATAAGAAAAACAATAAAAGAGTAAAAAAAAAATTAAAAAAAAGGTAAACAAAATGGGAACAATACAGAAAAAAGAGAACAAAAAAAGGTGAAGAAATCGCGCCAGAAAAGATCAAAAACCGCGACAAAAGGGGCACAAAAAAATTGAAAAAATTCAAAAATTGGAAAGTAGAATAAACAAATCGAATCAAAAAATTGGAAAACCCAGAAATTGTAAAATTGAATAATTATAGAATCCTCAAAATTGCAACATTTTTTTATTATTATTGAATGTTTAATATCGATCCTTCAAGATCAAAAATTGAAAAATTGTATATCGAGAAATTAAAAAATTGAAAATTGAAAAATGGATAAGTCGATAAATGAAAAAGTTTTAAAATCCAATACATAATTGAAAAATGGAAAAATTTTAAAATCGTGAAACTGAAAAAGGGAAAATTTTTTTAAATTATTATTAATATGACATATTTAAAATGGAAACTAGAACTAGTTAGAAATCAAAAATTGAAGAAACGAAAAATTGAAAAATCGAGAAACTGACGAATCTAAAATTAAAAAATCGAAAAACTGAAAAATTTCATATTGAAAAAAGAAAAACTGTAAAATCAGAACATTGAAGAACCGAAAAGTTGAAAAAATAAAGAAAATAAAAAATGGTAACGAAAAATTAAAGAAATAAAAAATTGGAAACTCGTGAAATTGCAAATCAAAAATTGCACTCTAAAAATTGAAACATCCAAAGGTTGGAAAATGGAAAAACTGAAAAATTTACAAATGAAAACTGGAAAAGTTGTTTTGCGTAGGAAACAAAAAAGTGAAAATTTGAAAAATTGTAAATCGAAAAATTGAAGAAAAGAAAAATTGAAAAAATTTAAATTGGAAAAATAAGAAATTATAAAAAAACAAAGCATTGAAAAATTGTAAAAATACAGAAAATAAAAAACCGAAACAAAAACCTGCAAATCGAAAATTTCAAGAAACGAAAAATTAAAAACTGAAAACTCGAGAAATTTTAAATCGAAAAATTGCAAAATCTAAAAATTAAAGAAACAAAAAAATGAAAAATTGGAAAATTAAAAATGAAAAATCGAGAAACAGAAATCTAAAATTGAAACAGTCAAAAATTAAAAAATCTAAAAAAATGAAAAATGAAGAACAGAAAAGTTGAAAAAATAAAGAAAATAAAAAATTGAAAACTCGTGAAATTGCAAATCAAAAAATTGCACTCTAAAAATTGAAAGATCTAAAGGTTAGAAATTCGAAAAGCTGAAAAATTTAAAATTACAAATCGAAAAATTGAAGGAACGAAAAATTGAAAAAATTGAAATTAGAAAAACAAAAAATTATAATATCAAAACATTGAAAAATTGTAAAAATAGAGATGATAAAAAACCGAAACAAAAGATTGCAAATCGAAAATTTGAAAAAATGAAAAATTAAAGAACCGAAAAATACAAAGTTATAAACTGAAAACTCGAGAAAATAAAAAAAGCAGATATACCTAATATAAATAAAAAATTTGACAACAATCGGCCCAGTACTTTCGGAGATTATCTGTCTAATAAAAATCCGGACAGACAGACGGAAACGGGAAATCTATTTCTTCGTACTTTGGGGTTCATGAACGGTCGAGAAAACGTAAAGGTAGAGAGTCGGCGGACGGACTTGATTTGCTTACGCTCGGGAAATAAAATATCAAAAACTACCAACTTTAACCTAAAAATAATATACTTAACAAAAACGAAAGAGAATGAAAAAGAGAAGATGTAGTCATAAAATATGTGTTCTATGTGAAAACATTAAAATACGGCAGAACATTAAAACATTCTAGAATTTTTTTATAAATACTCTGTATATTAAGACTCAATTTTGTTCATACCACAACGAATCCCATATTTTTGTTTACCTGTGCATACAATATTGCAATGTAAATATTAATAATAACGTTACTACAATCTTTATATAATATATATTTTTTTGAATTGGAGTAGCTTGGCAACGTTGCATTACTGTTTCAAAAATAAAATATGCTTTAAGATAGTAAAGGCCAATCAAGACATAAAAATTTATAAGATATTTCATTAAAAAAAAATAATTCTGCCTCGAATTTCATCCTTAACGAATGTTTTTTTTTTTCACTCTGACTTACCTCAAAATTATACATAGTAAATGTGTCTTAAATTGTATAAAATAACATACTCCTACACGTGTAGTTTATGAATCCGTGTTGAGTTTTTACCACAAAAAAATATCAAAATTGTATTGCAACACTTTGGAATTTAAGTTTCAAAATGCAAAATCGGATACTTTCAAATCTTGGATACGTTTTAATTTAATTTTTAATCAAAATGTATCTGTTTATCTCTCGGAAAATAAAATGTAGAAAATATGATGAGTCTTGTGACTGTGATTTATCATTGCATTAATATTTTTTAGAATTGCTTATACAGGGTGTCTAAAAAAATCAAAGAATGAGTCAGTTTATTTTTTTTATTAAAGAGAACTTTTTCCGAAAATTTGGCATACAGTACTGTGATTATTAGTATTACACTGTATACGTGTCTTGGCATATGTATATATTGATGACGTCATCACAAAATTTTGTAATGGGAACACTCACTTGAAACATACAGAAGCATGTTTCGATATCTTATATCTTGTAACATTATTTTAACCGATAGGTGTCATTAAAATTTGTAAAATTAGATCTCCTACTTTTTTAACCTGGATATTTTTGTTGATTACGTAAATCAAAAAAATCCTTCAGTTTTAGTCGTTGACTCTTTTCTACCTCAGATAACACTATAAAACACGAAAAATCACTGATATTCTGAATACTGATTCATGTTTTATTATTTATTCCAGATAAATTAACATCTCGAAACATCATTACTCATTTATTTAATTTTGATAGCGCGTAAAATTCTATATAATTTTGCTATTTTTTTTATTATGTTTGTCAATTGACACGGAAATCGGAAAAATTTCATTACAAATTGCGATAAATCCTGTGTCCCAGTCCTATAGAAAATACGCTTTTGTCGAAAAAGTTTTTAAGCAGGTTGGCCGACTTTCGCGATAAAATAAAAAAATGCCAGCATCATATCACAAAATGGAATGTAATATTCATTGAAGATACATTTATTACATTCCACTAAGTTTTTTTTCCAGAAAACAGACGTACTGTTCGCAATAAGCGCGCGGAAATATCAAAATATGTATTGCAAGGATTGAAAAACGCTACCAAGAACGATGGAAAGTTTCAATACTTCCGGATTACTGCTGACATCTTTTAAACAATATTTCTGAATCGCACTACTGCTTATCCAGTGCCAATTTGATGACGTACATCTTTCATTGTTCTCCAAAATAATTTCGAAAAAGTCGTCTAGTAGCCCATGAAATTTATTTTTAAAACAATATGATGTTGACACTTTTTGACAGACCGTAACTTTCAAACCGAGCAAGGAACGTTGATGTTGCCAACATAATTTTTTGGCATTAAATTTCAATGTTTCTAAAAACTAAAAAATTCGTTTCAGCGGATCCGTGGAAATGAACGACCAATCCTCGGTAGGCTCCGCCAAGGAGCCGTCCCGCGGCGTCTCCATGGACAACGAGAACCGCACCGGCTCCATCTCGAGCGACGAGGGAGTCCAGCCCCTGCCCCCCGACAAGAGCCCCGTCTCCCAGAAGAACTCCTTCAAGAGCCGCTTCTTCAGCAAGACCCCCAACACGCTCTCCGTGCAGCCGTTCGGCAGCCTCGGCCAGAGCTTACCCAACCTCACGCTCGGCTCGCCGAACGTCGGCAGCCTCAGCCTCAGCCTCAACCAGAACACGCTCTCAGTGCCTAACAACAAGAACGGGGGCCACCTGCTCAGCCCCACCCACCGCGGGGTCTCGTACCCGCCGCCCTCGCCCACCCGGGGCAACCTCAGGCGCGGCCTGGCCATCTCCCAGAGCAAGAACCCCCCTCTGATCAAGACGAGGCACATCAACTCCACCGCCACCACCAGCCAGCAGATACCGGCCAGCTTCGACTTCGACGTGCCCGTGATAGCAGGTCAGTAGCGGCGTTTCGCCTGTTTTTTGTACAAAATGTAACTTTTGTTTTCTTCGTTTTTTGTTCACTCTAGAAGAAGAACACTGTGAGCCTACGTAATTTCATTTATTGTGAGTCTTTTGAATGTGAATCATTAGTTTTAGAAGTTTTGTATGCGTGGGGCGGTTTGCGGGTTGGTGGAAACTCTGATGTTGAGGGTTGGTTGCGAGTTAGATACGTGCTTGGGGTTTATCGATAACTTTTGACAGTATTAAAAAGCACTTAGGGCGATCCTCAAATTGGGTAAGCTTGAACGGTTTGCCACCTTTTGATGGTAATAATATGGCCATTAGCGGGGGGAAATTACGATTAAGTTGGGAATAAGTTGTAACAGAGCTTTTAAATTATGTACAAAAACGAAATGACGTTTGTAGTGGCTTTCACCACGATATGGATCGTCCAGAAAGTGTTTATTAAAACATATCCAAAGTTATTTAAAATATCGAACATTTTTTTTGGCAGACATTGGATGCAACAGTCAGTTTTTATCACAACAGTATTAAATACAAAAAATTGTAGACGAAACACCCTGTAGACATGTTCCGAACTTCAAATTCTCTTTAAATTAGCGAGAGTAAATTACAAAAATTTTGAAAATTTACAAAAAAATTGGTCGAAAGTTATTTCGACAGAATTTCCCTCGCCCCTGGAGTGCAGCCCAATAAATCCCGCTTCTTTGAAAAATTATAGAGATTTTTGGTGATTTTTGTTTTTTTCTAACCTCTACAAAGTAAAAGCCATAACAAATAAATAACGCTCCCGCAGCTTTTTTAACTTGAATCTTTCATTTTTTGTTTATTCAGTTTTTCGATTTGCAATTTTTAGATTTTGGAACTTTTCGATTTAATTTTATCTATCAGTTTTTAATTTTCGATTTCTCAATTTTTCGATTTGCAATTTAGTCTCAGTTTTTTAATTTCTTTATTTTTTCAATTATTTCACTTTTCAATGTTTCGCCTTCATAATTTTTTGGTATTTTTCGTTTCTTCAATTTTTAAATTATGCAATTTTTGGATTTGAGTGTCTCCAGTTTTCAATTTTTAATGTTTCAATTCTCGATTTGCAATTTATTGTTTCAGTTTTTGATTTTCGTTGTTTTTTCAATTATTCCACTTTTCAAAGTTTCGATTTTATAGTTTTTTGGTTTTTCAGTTTTTCGCTTCCTCAATTTTTCGATCTGCGTTGCTTCAATTTTTCATTTTTCTTGTTTCTTCAATTTTTAGATTTTGCAATATTTCGATTCTATCATTTTTCATTTCTTCAAATTTTCCATTTACAATTTGTCGTTTCGGTTTTTATTATCTTTATTTTTTCAATTTTTGATTTCTTCGATTTTTCGATTTGCAACAAATCAATTTTTCATCTTTCTTGTATCTTTAATTTTTAGATTTTGCAATTTTTCGATTCTTTAATTTTTCACTTCAAATTTTCAAGTTGCAATTTTTATTTTCGGTTTTTTCATTTTTAAAATTTTTCGATTTTTCAATGTTCAGATTTAAAATTTTTCTTTTTTCAATGTGAAATTCTTTAGTTTGTAAATTTTCAATTTTTGATTTGTAATTTTTCAAGTTTTCGTTTTAAATATTTAATAATAATCATTATAATTTAAAAAAATCTTCCCTTTTTCAATTTTACGATTTTAGAATTTTTCCATTTTTCAATTATTGGAACTAAACCTTTTTCATTTAATCGATTTTTAGTTTTTCGATCATTTTTTTTTTAGTTTTTCGACTTCACAACATTTTTCTTCGATTTTGCGGTTTTTGGGTTTTCCAGTTTTTGGCTTCGATTCGTTTTTTCGTCTTTCTAATTTTTCGATTCACTAATTTTTTCGATTTTGCGGTTTCCCGACTTTTAATTTTTCAATGTTTCATTTTTTCGTTTCTTCAGTTCTTCGATTTGCAATTTTTTGATTTTCCATTCTTTCGATTTTGCATTTTTTCGTTTTTTTAGTTTTGCATTTTTTAATTTTTCCAATTATTCGTTTTTTTTTAGTATTCAATTTTTTTTACATTTTTCAACTTGTAGAATCAAAAAATGGAAAAATTGCACAATTGTAAAATTGAAAAATCAAAAATGAAAAAACGAAAAAGTATAACGAACTTGAAAAAATGAAAAAAAAAACTGAAAAATCGAAAAACTAAAAATGTATTGTAAAATCGAAATATTAAAAATCAAAGAATGGGAAAAGCGGTCAATTGGAAATCCAAAAATTGAAAAAAAAGCGATTTCAGTTTTTAATTTTTATTTTTTCACTGTATCGATTTGCAATTTTTCTTTTCGGCTGTTCATTTTCTTTTTTTTTTTCGATTCCATTTTCCAATGTTCCGATTTTTCGATGTTTTATTTTTTCAATTTTTCCATTCTTTAATTTTTGATTTCCAATTTTTAATTTCGGTTTTTTATTTTCTTTATTTTTACAATTTTTCGATTTTTCAATGTTCCGATTTTATAATTTTTTGTTTTTTCAATTTTTTATTTCTTCAATTTTACGATATGCAACTCTTCGAGTTTTCATTTTAAAATTTTTCAATTTTTCGATTTTCCAACTTTTCGATGTTTTAACTATTAGATTTTGCAATTTTCCGATTTGCAATTTCAGGAGTTTTCAACTTTTAATTTTTTAGTTTTTAGCTTTTTTGCAATTTTTCATTTCTTCAATTTTTCCTTCCAGTTTTTTATTTTCTTTTTTTTTTCAATATAAATTTTTTCAGTTGTGTGTTTCAATTGTTCAATTTGTAATTTTCCAATTTTTCGATATTTCAACTTTAAAATTTTTCTATTTTTCGTTTCTTCAATTTTTGATTTGCAATTTTTCTATAGTTTTCATTTTTGATATGTATCTAGTAATAATTAGGAGTATAATTTTAAAAATTTTTCACTCTTTCATTTTACGATTTTACAATTTTTCCGTTTTCCAATTAGTGGGTTTTAAAAGTTTTACATTTATTCGTTTTTTCAATTTTTCAACTTTTAATTTTTCAATTTCTCGATATTTATTTTTCAATATTTCGATCTTTCAGTGTTACAGTTTTTCGACTTTTACAGTTTTGAGGATTCTATAATTTTTAGATTTCACAATTTTTGGGTTTTCCAATTTTTTGATTGGATTCATTTTTTCTTCTTTCCGACTTTTCGATTTTACAATTTTTTATTTTTTCAGTTTTTCATTTTTCAATTGTTCAACAAAAAGTATAAAATGAAAATATTGAAAAATCTAAAAGTGGAAATCAAGAACTTGAAACATTGAAAAAACGAATGAAAAATCTAAAGATTAAAAACTGTGGAAGTTAAAAATCAAACAACGAAATATATTTTGTAAAATCCAAATATTGAATATTGGATAATTGGGAAATCCAAAAATTGCAAAATTAAAAAATTTAAAAATTGGAAAATCGAGGAACTGAAAAATCAAAAATCGAAAGAAACGTTGAAAAAATAAAGGGAATGAAAAAACGAAAAATTGTGACTAAAAATCGAGAAAATGAGAATTAAAAATCGGGAAAATAAAAAATAAAAATCAAGAAGTTGAAAAATTGAGAAACCGAAAAATTAAAAATTGACAAACTTAAAACTCGAACAGTGCAAAATCGAAAAACGAAATATATTTTGTAAAACCGAAATATTGAAAATGAAAGCAAACGGAAAATGGGATAATTGGGAAATCCAAAAATTGCAAATTTGAAAAATTTAAAAATTGGAAAATCGAGGAACTGAAAAATCAAAGATCGAAAGAAACATTGAAAAAAATAAAGAGAATAAAAAAAAGAAAAATTGTGATATACTCGTAAAATCGACAAAATAAGAATTACAAAATCGGGAAAATGAAAAATAAAAATCAAGAACATGAAAAATTGAGAAACTGACACATTGAGAAATCGAAAAATTAAAATGAGAAACTGAAAAATCGAAAAATTAAATTGAGAAACTGTAAATGCAAAAAATGAAAAATTATAACATCGAAAAAATGCAAAACTGAAAAATTTGCGAAAAATTAAAAAAAATCAAAATTGACAATTTTGGAAGTCGAGAAATAAAATAAAATTCCAAACACTAGTTGCAAAAACGAAAAATTATGATATCAAAAAATTCCTCGAAAGTAAACAAATCCAGATTTCTCTAAAAATTATAAGATTTGATTTTGAAATGACGTCCACAGTTATTGAGGGATAATGGATGTCTAAGCTGAAAACTCAGCACGGATTCATACACCACATGTAGAGGCATATCTTAATTTATAAAATAAAACAAATTTACTTTTGTAAATTTTGGATATGACATCATCAAATTGTTGGTGGGGATGACTGGCAAATTTTTGGTTGGCGTTTTACCATCTACATGATAGTCCTAAAAGACCGATGTTATGATTGTCTACTTAAATTAATTAGGAATGGCTTTGGGAACTTTTTTTAAATGTCGTTTTTATTATTTTTGCGTGCAATCTCAATATTTTTTACATATACTTCATTTACCCATCCGCAGACGTAAAAGAAATATGTAATTACGTTTATTCATTACGTCGCTTTAACTCATCTGACGTAAAACAATTACACAGAAAAAACTTAATGGGGAAAAATGTCAAGGGAAAATTAATAATTATAAAAAAATGGTACTACAACCCTGTGTCAGAGTTTCATCAACTTTTATGAAATGTTATGCTTTTTAGTTGAACATGATACAAAACTTTTCAAAACTTGTCACTAGACCACCTAGCAAGGTAGCACTCTAGAATGCAATAGCACTTTTGCATAAATGCTTTGATTTCTTACAAAATACACACTTAATCCAGTTTGAGATTTACAACAGAACAGACTACTGCTGCAGGCTCTCTTACCACAGAAAAACTTATATTTAAATTATCAACGGGCACACTAAATTATTTTTTTTTTATTTTATTCAGGTGTGTCCCAGTCAGAGGATCAATGTGAATCTTTTAGCAGAGGACATCATCGTCAGGCAATGAAACGAATTTATAGGAATGATAAAAGATATCATACTGCGGGAGTTGTGGATGACATCAAGGTAAAATTCCGAGTCTAGTGGAATTTATTATTTATTTAATAATATTTTTCAGAAAAATGATAGCCGAGATGCGAGCATCCACAAACGTTTATCCTGGAATTGCAGTAGTCAAGAGCAACGGCCCCCCAACGAGGACCATACCTAGCATACAATTATAAACTCCCTTGTGTCTTGTATAGTGATCCTTTACTTCTTCTATTTTATAGTCTGTACAGTACTAGAATTACTAAATCATCTAGTTAGTTAAAGAAATGAGAATAACACGACAACTCGGCTTGGGTTTATGCGGATTGTACAAAACTGTGGACCAAACGAACCCACAATATCACGAAAACAATAAATTTATTAGATGCCAAACATTTTGGCAGATTTACATTCCTATTACATTCCAAGATAAACCTGAGCAATACTGTACCTAATCAAAAGTTCTATCTGGCCTAATCTTTAAAAATTTTGATAATATTTTAAGTAGGAATTTAGTGACTAAATAGATCGCTTTAAACTGATCGAAGTGTCGAGTAGGTCCTCGAAAAACGATTGGAATTTTTGGGTTTTTCGGGAATTACCGATGCTGCGGTTGCGCGAAAAAACCCGCTTATTAAGGAGAGTCGTTTGTTTTAAACGAAATAGTACAATGAATTTTATATTTTGGTATAAAATTTTATATTTATTTTTTTGCTTAAGAAGTCTATATTTATTTTAAGTACGCTATTGAAGAACTAAGATTTAAACGAACTGTATCTTTGTTATATTTATTGAGAACATCTAATAAATCATTACTGCGAATAGTCTGCATTTGAATTCCCGCCATAATGCTACCAACCCGACGCACCAAATATCGCTGCATCAGTGACAAAACTGTCACCAGTGTCAACATAACCTCAAAACATGGGTTACAAAATTTGGTAAATCAACCAAACATTAATTAAAAAAAAAATCCAATTGTGTGTTTTTAGCATGGTTTCCGACTTCTTCTTCCCCAACATGGGTGGAGTCGAAGAGCACATTTACAACCTTTCACAGTGTTTGATTCTAGAGGGGCACAAAGTCGTCGTAATGACACACAATTACGGGGACTGCATTGGTGTCCGCTATAAAACGAACGGGCTAAAAGTATACTACCTCCCAATTAGAGTGTTCTATAACCAGTCTGTCCTACCAACAATGATATGCAATGTCCCCCTCATACGTTACATTTTTATTCGGGAACAAATTGAAATAATTCATGGACATTCGGCATTTTCGGCACTCGCACACGAAGCTATGCTAGTTGGGAATTTAATGGGTTTAAAGGTACGTTTTATTCAATAAATCCTGGATCTAATTACTTGATTATAGACCGTTTTCACTGATCATAGTTTATTTGGTTTTGCTGATGCAAGCGCTGTGATAACTAATAAATTACTACAAATGTCACTGGCTGATTGTAACCACTGGATCTGTGTTTCACACACTGGTAAAGAAAACACAGTTTTAAGAGCCAAAGTTAATAGTAAACGAGTTTCTGTGATACCTAACGCTGTAGACACTTGTGCTTTCACGCCAGATCCTAGTAGACGGTCTAAGAAGTATAGTACGTCCACAATAATCATAATTAATAATTATTTCAACGTGTAATATTTATTTCAGTTACAATTGTAGTTGTATCTCGCTTGGTTTACCGAAAAGGCGTTGACTTAACAGCACAAATTATTTCCGAAATGTGTAAAAAATACAAGGATATTAATTTCTTAATAGCGGGCGACGGCCCAAAGCGGGGGTAACAAGTAACATTTTGTTGAACACCCACTAATTAATTATTCACAGATTGTTAGAAGAAATTCGTGAACGACAAGGTCTTCACGACAGACTTACGCTTCTAGGGAGTTTAGAACACTCCCAAGTACGCGATGTTCTAGTTCAGGGCCACATTTTCCTCAATACGTCTCTAACAGAGGCTTATTGTATGGCGATAGTGGAAGCAGTTTCTTGTGGATTACAAGTCGTTTCGACGAAAGTTGGCGGAATACCTGAAGTGCTTCCAGACGATTTGATTTACTTGACTGAACCAAACGTTCCAGCGCTTATTAAAGCCCTTGAAACGGCTCTAGAGGATTTAAAAAGTAACAAAGTGTTGTGTCCTTATGAATGTAATTTACGCACCAAAAACTACTATAATTGGGAACACGTTTCCAAGCGTACGGAAATTGTGTATCAGAGGGTGGTTCACGAGAAAGTTAAAACTCTACAGGAGCAACTATGGAGGTAAGACGGGCGATAAAAATTCGGTTTTTTTTTTTATAAATTTTATTTCAGTTATAAGACGAGCGGCGTGTGGCCCTTCTTATTGGTCGCTTCGCTGTGTTACCTAATGTTGGCGTTTTACGAATTTATGTACCCAAGGGAGTACATTGATATTGCCAAAGATTATAACCATTGTAAGAAGAAAAATAAAGAAAAAGTTTTTTAAAATTGTGTGGCTTGACCTGACCTGACCTGAAAGTAGAGATTGTGTTTAATAACTATGCTAAAATACACTGATGTGCATGGCTATATATATAAGGACTCAGAGTCAATTGTCTTCAGACAAATATTGTTAAAATATTTTCAGGTGAAGAAATTCGAAAACATCATTGTGAATTATAAAATAGTTAATTTCAGTGATTATTATTACCTTGATTCTGTGACACCAATTGCTTCTATCTGGCCTTGGAACACCTGAAATATTAGAAAATTAACAAAGTTTAAAAAGAATAGTGCTCAAATCTTACCTTCTGGTAACTTCCAGGTTATCAGCTCATCGAAACTGAAATAAAAAAAACAACTGTGAATTCAGACATTTATAGACAAAATATAAACTAAAAAAAAATGCCTCAGTCATTCAAAATTGTGGTAGTATGAAGTTTATCTGCACAGAAACTCAGATAGCAAATACTTGATCATCATTAAACACAAAAACACATTCATTCATTCAATTCATAGTTTTTCCTTACCAAATTTCTTCACGTGTATTCGTTGGATTTTTCAGCCTCCATCTTTGTGTTGGTTTTCCAAATTTTTGGTTAACTGCAAAAATTGAAACAAAAACGCGTCATTAGCACATATATTAATACAAATGTACTCATTTCACAAAAGTAACGTGGATATCAGTATTAAAAAGCTCGATTATTAAATCAACACATGATTTCAGATTTTATGTTGTGATCATCATTGAAAACGATTAACACGAAAAATAACTGCATTGAAAGAAATATTAGGGCACTTACCATATTCCCCGCGTTAATACACGTTGAAATATTTAAAGATGGCAAATTAAAATCAAGATTTTGTGAAGATTGCAACATTTTGTGATTCTACTGCACGACTTTTCTCGCCAAGAACGAAACCCGGAATAAAATAAATCTAGAAAGAAGGCCGTTACTCAAGAGTGCCACTACCAACAAAAAAGTCCCTACTGTGTAACTTTTAACTCGGAATTCCCTAACCTTGACGTTTAAGTAGTGACGTGTGTCACACATGTCACCCGTACACAAACATGGCAGATGTGTCAAAAGCCCAAAAATTAGCGTCTGCTAGAAAAAAGGTAAAAACAAAATCAAATCAATTTGCACTTTTTTTCGCCCCAAAGTCACACACGAACGCTTCCCGAGCGCCACCCGCGCGAACTTTGCAAAAACAACTTTTCCCGAATTTTTTTAGGCCACATCATCACTGTCTTTATTTTAGTTCAAGGAGCTAAAAAAAGAAAAAAAGAAGAACGCGCAGAAGGTGAACGACGTCGCAGACTCTCCTCCCACGAGTCGGGAGCAGACCCCTGTGGAGAATGTCGCGAGTGTGCAAGATCAAACCGAGACACAGCTCCCCAATTACTTCAATAACGTAAACTACAACAATGGGTATCAACAGCCGGTGGCTTTTTTCGACAGTTTTGCGGATACGAGTGTGTCGGAGTCGCCTCTGGCCAACGCGTTCGGCGACTTGAATGACCATGAACATGTGGAAAGTAACGAAAATCACGAGGATGTGGTGTTAGGTAATGAAAGTAAAGATTTAGTAGAAGAAGTGGTTGAAGATGGCGTAACAGTAGACAATAAAAATGAAGAGATAGCGGACTTCCATGCCTTTGATACTGTAAAACTAGAGAGTTCACGGCCCACTCAGTTGTCAAGTGTGGAAAGTTTGCGCCAGATATCCGATCAAATGGCGGAACTTATCAACCCCACGTCGGAAAATTCGAGTGGGGTGATTGAGTCGCAGCTGGAGACGCGAAATCAGGAATTGGCGACTTTGTTGAACCAAGAGAGGGTGAAATCAGAACATTTAGCCATCACGTTGCAAGAATATCAAAATAAAATGTCTCAGATGGAGGCGGAGTTGAGGGAGAGAGATATCAACTCTGACACTAAATTTAGCCAGGAGATGAGCAGTCTGAGGGAACAGTTGCAATGTCATATCCAAACTGTTGGAATTCTAGTGGCTGAAAAAACAGAACTAGTAGCTAACTTAAGTCAGTTCCAATTAGCCGCTAAACAAAAAACGTCGGAATGTGAAGAACTCCAAGGAAGATTAAAAACTTCAAGATCCCGTGTCGCCGACTTAGAGCGCGAAATCGTGCTCCTAAAAAACGAAAAATCCCAGTTTGATACTTTAGAAAGAGAACAAAGCTCTGAACTTGACACACTCAAGAAAACGTACCAAGTCCTAAAAGACGAAAGAGACGAACTCATGCAAGACTTGCTAGAAGTCCGCGAAAAACTCAAAACCAGCTCTGAAAACAACCTCGTCTTTCAGCAACAAATCGGCGAATTATCCAACCAACTCTCGCTCGCGAATATCAAAATCCAGCAGCTGACGACTGGCGAAATGGATCACGTGAGCAGCCAAGTCCACCAACTAACCCAGGAAAAATTCGCGCTGGAAAAGCAAGTCGCCGATTTGACCCACACCGTGAAAACCATCTCCAAGGAGCGCGAAGAATCCAGTTTACAGTACCAGCAATACGCGCAGCAACTCAACTCCCAGATTACCAGCATGGCCGGGCGGCTGGAGAAGCTGCAAAAGGAGAACGAATCTCTTCAAGTACAGGAGCAGAACAGGATTAAGCACATCGGGGAGCTGGAGAAGCAGCTGCAGAGTCTCCAGAACGATCACGTGAATTTCGCCATTTCGCGGAACGTGGGGGACTCGCGGGCCGAGTTGGACGCCGCGCTGGAGTTGGTGGAGAAGTTGAAGTCGGAGAACGCGGAGTTGCAGGGGGATAATGTTAAAGTTGCGGATGAGAAGGAGTTGTTGTTGAAGGATTTGGAGGCGCAGGCGGAGAGCGTGCGGGAGTTGGAGGGGCTGTTGGAGGAGCTGAGGGGGAATCAGCCGGACACGGTGAAGTTGCTGGCGACGATGGAGAGCGACAAGGTGGCGGCGGCCAGGGCGGTGGCGCAGAATGCGGAGTTGAAGAGCCAGATGGAGAGCATGCATGAAGTTTTTATGAAGTTGGTAAGTTGGGATGGTGGGGGAATGCAGTTTTATTAGTTCTTGTTAAAAAACTGTTCAAAATTGTTTTTAAATACAACGTCCTACGAATGGAAAAAAACACCATTCTGTTATAGCAAAACAAGTGATACATCGTAGCGTAACAAACATGATTTTGAACAATGCGTGATGCATTGTATTTCATCGTTAAATTATCAATTGTCTTGTTATAAATAATACAGAACCTGCAAAGTTTATTACCAATTCTGTTTTTAATTTTCCGCTCGAATATTTTGTTGAAAACAATTTTAATTAATGCAAAGTGCCCGTACAAACAAAATTTGGGACGCTCTTCAAGTCATATTGCGATTTGGTTGAAGAAAAATTACTTGGCCAAAGCATTCCTTGTTCATTTTGACAGTTCACTGTCAAATAGAGTATCAAATAGCTGCAGTGCCAACATCGTTATCTTAGAAATAAATTTCATGGCCTACTAGGCAACAGCTATTTTCTGTGACCATGGCCAACTGATCTTACGAATTCGTTGTGAATAATTATGATTGACGGAACAAAAAAGTTTGGTTTTAAAACATGTCAAAAGTCAGCAAAATTAACAATCCCAAAAGAAAATGATAAAATTGTATAAAATTAGATGGAACATGATATATTTAAAATTGAAATAACAACGAACAAAAGAAAAATAACACAAATTCAAAACTTTTCTACTAATGGGTTTATTCGTCACTGATTTTTTTTTAACAAAATCTGTTTTTTGCAGGCATATGTTATTTAGAACTGATTTCAACTTTTGTTTAATTTGTGATTATTCAAAATTAACAGAAAAAAAGAAATCGCGGAGAAATACCATAAAAAAAGATGTTTTTTTTCTATTTGATGACGTAAATATGCACAATTTTGCTAAATGTGCACAGTTTTATGCGCACATGTTTTACATGAGCACCCTTTTGACTCACGATGAATAAAAGAAGTCATTACAATGGAGATAGGGTGGGTGGGCGGGGCGTATATTTTAATTTGTTTCTTAATATTCGTAGTATTCTTTTCGCAACAACAAACAAACTTAAAACGTGTTTAAAACAGAAAATATGGATTTTGCAATTACGCTCCGCCCCTCAGTCTGACAACGAATGGAAAATTCGTCACGTGAGTGAGGCTTATCTTTTTTTTTACTTAATACATATAGTTTTCTCTGAGCAACACTATCACTGAAGAACGTGTTTCACATGGTAATTCTTGTAGAAAAATACGGATTTTGCAATTAAGCTCGCTCCACCCCCTCTGACTAACGACGAACAAAGAAAAATCGTCAAATCGAAATAGGATGGGTGGGTGGGGCCTATGTTTTGCTTTTTTTATCCCATACACTTCTCTACAAATTTACCCATTTAAACATATTTTCAGTTTCTTGTCGTGAAAAGAAAACTACGTACATATTAAGAAAAAAAGGCAAAATACAAACCAATGCCTATTTCTCTACAAGAAAATACTAGGTGAAACATGTTTTTAAGTAACATTTTGTTGAAAGGAAATTATATATGTTAAGAAAGAAACTTGAAAAAAATTAGCCCCACCCACCCGCCCCAGTTTCAATTGTAATGAATTTTTCATTCGTTGTCAGACCGAGGGGCGGAGCTTAATTGTAAAATCGATGTTTCCCAACCAAAAATTACCATTTTAAACGTTTGAAATGTGTTGTCGTGAAAAGATTGTTACGTATATCCAGAAAAAAGGCGAAATTTACGCTCCGCCTACCCACTACCATCTCAATGCATGCAAAAAGTGTGACGTCACATAGGCGTTGGCGCGTTCCAACTGATTCCAAACAAAAATGGTTGCCATGGTTACCTGTGTTAAATGGCCATAAAAAAGTGGAATCAGTGGCACTGGTTTGTAGTGTTTGGAATCAGTTGCTATAGCAACCACGACTGATGACGTCACGACTTTTCTGGTGTATTATATTATTCGTTGTGAATATTAAAGTTCTAGGAAATGAAGACGAAAACTCTTTAGTGTCCGAAAACTGATAAAAAACTGGAATATTGAAAAAATTGAGATTTTGAAAAAGATACCTAAAAATCCACAAAAAATTCTTGATAAAATTGTTCCAAAAACATGCAGTTTTGATGGCTGTGGGTCAAAATTTGCGAAATATTTTTTTAATCAAAATTTGTCATAAATGTTACATTGTAAATTCTGGAAAAACGGTGGAAAATTTTCAAGAAATGAAGGCGAAAATAACTTCTGGAAAGACGAAATGTATTTAAACAAAAACTAGGAAATTTTCGGTGATGTAAAAATTATACATTGAAAAATTTGAACTTTAGTTTAAATTTGTGAAATATCGAGTATGAAATTCTAATTTTTTAAAAATCCTAATCTTCGAAGAAATGAAAGTCGAAAAGAACTTCTGGACATCAAAATGTATAAAAAAACTCTTTTAAAAAAAAATCTACAAAAAATTGTGGAGTTTTGATGATCTAGGATCAAAATTTACTAAATATTCGATATGAAAAGTCAATGTGGAATTTGTTGGAAATACTTATGTACAATGTTGCTAAAGATGCGCAGTTTTATACACTTTTTTTCCTGTTACAATTAACGATCGATGTTTTTCCAAATGTTCCATTGTTATGACAAAAACGAAACTCGCAAAATAAAATTTTATAATTTATAAAGAAACAGAAAAAAGAGAAATAAGGATTTTAAGCTCCACCGTCTTGGCTCACGATGAATAAAGAAACTCATCAGAATTGAGATAGGGAGGGTGGGCGGGGCTTATATTATACCTTTTTTTCCCCTAATATTCGTAGTCTTCTTTTCGCAACAAGAAATTTAAAATATGTTTAAAACAGGAAATACGGATTTTGCAATTAAACTCCGCCCCCTCTGACTAACGACGAACAAAGAAAAATCATCACAATTGGGATAGGGTGGGTGGGTGGGGCTTATATTTTGCACCTTTTTCTTCTCAACATACATAGAATTTTCTTGACAACAAGAAACTGAAAACATGTTTAAAATTGTAAATTTTATCCCCCACATTTCTCTTCAAATTTACCCTTTTAAACATAATTTCGGTTTCTTGTCGTTAAAAGAAAACTGCGTACATATATCAAGAAAAAAAAAGGCAAAAAATACCAAACCCCGCCCACCCGCCCTCATCTCAATTGGGATGTTTTTATTCGTTGTGAGCCGAATGGCGGAGTTATTGCTTATTTCTTTACAAGAAATAATGTGACACATGTTTTTAAGTAACATGTTGTTGAAAGGAAACTATATACGTTAAGAAAAAAAAGTCAAAAAATAAGTCCCACCCACCACAAAAAATTGTTATATTTCATATAGTAAATTGTGGAAAGCTGGTGGCAATTTTCCAGGAAATGAAGACGAAAATAACTTCTGGAAATCAAAATGTATATGAAAAAAACTCTTTAGTTAATTTTCGGGAGTGTTCGAAGACTGGTAAAAAAATGTATATTGAAAAATTTGAGATTTTGAAAAAGTTACCTACAAATCCACAAAAAATTCTCGATGAGCTGACTCCAAAAACATAGTTTTGATGGTGTCGGGTTAAAATTCGCAAAATATTCGATTTAAAAATCCTGGTTTTTTAAATCCTATAAATTGTGATATTTTATATTGTAAATTCTGGAAAAATGGTCGCCATTTTTTAAGAAATGAAGCCGGAAATGTTTACTAGAAATCAAAATGTACAAAAAAAATATTTTTAATAAGTTCCCTAAAAATTGACGGCTGATTTTAAAAATATTGAGTTTTAATGGTCCTGGATAAAATTTGCTAAATATTCAATATGAAAACCGTTGACTGTTAACCAATATGAAAACCTAATATTTTTAAATTCTAAAAAATTGTTATAGGTATTTCATATTGTAAATTGTGGAAAAATTATGGCAATTTTTCAAGAAATGGGGACGAACGTAGCTTCTGGAGATCGAAATTAAAAAAAAAACTAGATAATTTTCGGAGGTGTTTGAAAAAGGATCAAAAACTTCATTTTAAAAAAACGTTACCTAAAAATCCACAAAAAATTCTAAATAAGTATGTATATGAGATGACTCGATTAATATAGCATTCTGATATTCCCGGATCAAGATTTGAGAAGTACTCGTTTAGAAAATCCAATTTTTTAAAAATCCTAAAAAGTGATATATTTCCTATTGTAAATTCTAGACAAATGGTGGCAATTTTCGAAGAAATGAAACCGAAAATAACTTCTGGAGATCCAAATGCGTAGAAAAAAAACTAGTAATTGTCCAAGATCTCGAAAACGGGTAAAAATTTCAAGAAATTGAGCTTTTGCAAGTTTCCTAATAAAAACCATAAAAATTTTTTTATATCCTAGAATTTTCTAAAATTCTAGGATATAAATCTCAACGAGCTGATTTGAAAAATAGCATTCGCGGATGGTTTTGGACCAAGATGTGAGAAATATTCCGTACGAAAATCCATTTTTCTTTTATTTAAAAATTACGAAATTTCTAATTGGAGTTTCTGGCAAAATAGTCGGAATTTTGGAAGAAATGTAGTCGAAAATAGCTTCTGGAGAAAGTAATTTATAAAAAAAAAACTGTTAGATAATTTTCAAAGGCGTTCGCTCGAAAAAGGGTAAAAAATTTAGAAAAATGAATGGAAAATTCATCACGATTGAAATCCAGACGGATGGGTGGGACTTATCTTTTTTTTTTACTTAATGCATACTTAATTTTCTCTGAGCAACACAATCACTGGAGAACATGTTTCACATGATAATTCTTGTAGAAAAATACGGATTTTGCAGTTAAGCTCCGCCCCCATGACTAACGACGAACAAAGAAAAATCGTCACAATTGGGATAGGGTGGGTGGGTGGGGCTTATGTTTTTAATTTTTTTTCTTCTTAATATACATAGTCTTTTCTTCACAACAAGAAACTGATAGCATGTTTAAAATGGTAAATTTTATCCCCTACACTTCTATAAATGTACCCTTTTAAACATGTTTTCAGTTTTTTGTAGTAAAAAGAAAAGTACGTTCATATATTAAGAAAAAAAAGTCAAAATACAAACCCCCCCCCCCCCACCCGCCCTCATCTCAATTGGGATAACGTTTTTATTCGTTGTGAGCCGAAGGGTGGAGTTTATTCCAAAATGCTTATTTCTCTACAAGAAACTACTATGTGAAACATGTTTTTAAGTAACATGCTGTTGAAAGGAAGCTACATATATTTAGAAACAAAAGGCAAAAAATAAGCCCCTCCCACCTGCCTCAATCTCAATTGTGATGAATTTTTCATTCGTTGTCAGACCGAGGGGCGGAGTCTAATTGTAAAATCGATGTTTCCCGACAAAAATTTACCATTTTAAGCGTTTTAAATATGTATATTGTCCTGAAAAGATTGTTATATACATTTATCCAAAAAAAAAGCCAAAATTTAAGCTCCGCCTACCCACCCCCATCTCAGTTGTACTGATGTTATTCGTTATGAATATTAAAATTCTAAAAATTTGTTATTTTTCAATGGCGGCAATTTTCCAGGAAATGAAAACGAAAATAACTTCTGGAAATTAAAATGTTTATAAAAAAAAAACTCTTTAGTTAATTTTCGGAAGTGTTCGGAAACTGGTAAAAAGATTGATATCGAAAAATTTAAGATTTTGAAAAAATTACCTAAAAATCCACAAAAAATTCTGGGATATAGACCTCGATGAACTGACTCCAAAAACATGATAGTTTTGATAGTTTCGGGTTAAAATTTGCAAAATATTCGCTTTGAAAATCCTGTTTTTTTAAATCCTACAAATTGTGATATTTTATATCGTAAATTCTGGGAAAATGATCGCAAATTTTGAAGAAATGAAGCCTGAAATAACTATTGGAGATCGAAATTTACAAAAAAAAAAAATCTTTTTAAGAGAATTCCCGAAAAATTCACAAAAAAATCTGGAACCTAGAACTCGACAGCTGATTTTAAAAACGTTGAGTTTTGATGATCCTGTATAAAATTTGCTAAATATTCGATACGAAAACCCAATATTTTGAAATTCTAAAAAAATGTTATACATATTTCATATTGTAAATTGTGGAAAAATTATGGCAATTTTTCAAGAAATGAAGACGAACATAACTTCAGGAGATCGAAATATAAAAAAAATAAGCCCCACCCACCCGCCCCAATCTCAATTATGATGAATTTTTCATTCGTTGTCAGACCGAGGGGTGGAGCCTAATTGTAAAATCGATGTTTCCCGACAAAAATTTACCATTTTAAACGTTTTAAATATATTGTCCTGAGAAGATTGTGATATACATATATCCAAAAAAAAGGCAAAATTTAAGCCCGCCTACCCACCCCCACCTCAGTTGTACTGATGTTATTCGTTGTGAATATTAAAATTCTAAAAAATTGTTATTTTTCAATGGCGGCAATTTTCCAGGAAATGAAAACGAAAATAACTTCAGGATTTTAATGTGTATAAAAAAAACTATTTGGTGAATTTTCAGAAGTGTTCGAAAACTGGTAAAAAAAAATTGATATCGAGAAATCTAAAATTTTGAAAAAATTACCTAAAAATTCACAAAAAATTCTGGAATCTAGAACTCGACAGCTGATGTTAAAAACATTGAGTTTTGATGATCCTGGATAAAATTTGTTAAATCTTCGGTATGAAAACCCAATATTTTGAAATTCTAAAAAGTGTTATACATATTTCATATTGTAAATTGTGGAAAAATTATGGCAATTTTTCAAGACATTAAGACGAACAGGAGATCGCAATATAAAAAAAAAAATAAGCCCCACCCACCCGCCCCAATCTCAGTTGTGACGAATTTTTCATTCGTTGTCAGACCGAGGGGCGGAGCCTAATTGTAAAATCGGTGTTTCCCGGTAAAAATTTACTATTTTAAACGTTTTAAATATTTTTTCGTAAAAATATTGTTACGTGTATCCAGAAAAAAGGCAAAATTTAAGCTCCGCCTACCCAGCGCCATCTCAATTCTAATGATGTTATTCGTTGTGAACACTGAAAATCTAAAAAATTTTTATATTTCATATTGTAAATTTTTTAAGCAAAAATTGCCAATTGACTACAATACGACATTTTCGTTATAGAAACCGGAAGTGGATTACGACGGTCTATGTGAATTTCAACATGCCGTCCCCACAATAGAATTTTTATTTTTTGACAAGATGTTGTAAAACTGTACCAATTGTGACATCTGATATGTCTCTGTTTCTGTCTTCGTCTGACACACTGTCGCGTGCGTAGACAGTCCGCCCTGCTTAGCATTTTAGGGGTGGAAACGTATACCTGCGCACCTGAGTCGGACGAAGACAGAAACAGAAACACACCTTTTTTACTACACTGTATCGTACGCAAAAGTATTATCGATACCCAGGCAAGGTACTAGGCGTCTCCGCCTCCTCTTTGCGTGTTTCCATAATCTCATAAACACTTCGATGTATAGAATAAAGTGAACAAGGACTAAAATTTCCCGGTTTGAAAGTTTTAAATTCGAAACGAGGACATTAATACATTCGTGGTTTTTTTAGAACAAAAATTTACCTAACTTTTTTTTTCAGAACAATGACAAAATAGAACTCACCGAAAAACTCACCTCCGAACAGCGCAACAACAAGGACCTCTTCGAAAAGCTCCAGAAAACCGAAGTCCACTTGCAAACTCTAGCAGACGCCATTGAAATAAAAGACAAAGAATTATCGCACCTTCGTGAAAACTCGCTCCAACTCGACAAACAGATGCTACAATCCGAGCAACTGACAGACCGACTGCGCCACTACGAAGCACAAGACCACAGCACCCAGTCCCTACAAAACGAGCTCCAAGAATCCAAGCAAACCATCGCAAACCTCACGGCCGAAATCGAGCACTTAAAGCACGCTGAAGATGAAACCGACGCGAAAACCGAAGCCACTGTTGACGCGAGCGAAATCGACGAACTGAAGCAAAAACTGGAAAATTTGGAAATGAAGAATCGAGAACTGGAAAACAAATTGTGCGTTAACGACGACCAATCACCGATCGACTCGAACCATAACGACCAGTGGACCGTGCTTGATCGAGAGGCCGCTATGAAGCACCTGGAGGCGAAGTTCTTGAAGACGATGGAGGATATAGCGAATTTGACTGAAGAGAAGCAGCGTCTGGAGCATCTGGTTTTGCAGCTTCAAGGCGAAACGGAAACGATAGGGGAGTATGTGGCGCTGTATCAGTACCAGAGGAGTCTTCTGAAACAGAAGGCCATCGAGAAGGATCAGCAGTTGTCGCAGCTGGCGACCGACAGGGAACAGATGAAGAATAAATTGGAGAAGTTGAACGAGTTAGTGCGGAAATTGGTTTTGGAAAAAGGGGCGGTTCCGCCGGAGTTGTGGGAGCACCATGATAACTTAAGTAGGGACAATCAGTTGTGCGAGGAGCACGCCAAAATCCATAATGAAATAAATAAAATTGCCCAAAATAGTTTTACGGTTGAACCTAGTAATTGTGATAGTAATAGTAGTACGGAAACTGCGGAGCAGATTATTACGTTGTTGTCGGAAATTAAGAGTAGTAATTTGGTGCAACCTACTGAGAACTTCCAACATTGTCCGTGGTGTTCTGGGAAACTTATTACGGTGTGAAGGGGCTTCGTGGCTGTATATTGTGATTTATATTACTATTATATGGAATATTTTAAATAGCTTGATTAAAATTTATAACGCCTAGGGTTGTTTTATTTCAAACATACTTGGACATCTATAACGCTTTTGGAACAAAAATTAAATTTTGTGTGAATGCCTTTAAATGAAATTTCGAGATGAAAAATTGATTTCTACACTAATTTTTATTTTAGAATACCAGTCTTCTTGTAGTTAATCTGTCTTAAAAAAATAAGCAACAGACAACAGGCAAAAAAAAACAAACGAACTATACACAGAGAGACGACAGAAATGTTATATAGTGAGTCTTCTAGCTCACTTTTGGCGGGAAAATTGAATTCGTGCGCAAACTCAGGTCCTCGCTCACTTGGTTCTGCGCATGTTCAGGTTCTAGTTCAAGTGCGACTTCGGGTTCAGTGTGTTTTGTGAATGCCTGGGTTTTGGAGGGGTATTCTATGGCTCTGGCTCACTTCGACCAGGGTTAACTCAACCGAACATGCGCAAAACACACTGAACCAGAAGACCCACGAAATTAAATTCTCCCCATCAAAAATACGCACAAAGTGAAACTTTCCTGCCAAAAAGTGAGTAGAAGCCCCACAATATACTAACTGTATAATTTAACTATTTTGGTATTTTGAGGATTTGAGGATTTTGGTGTTTTTAGGATTCGAGGATTTAGATGTTTTGAGGATTTGGAAATTTTGGTATTTTGGGAAGTTGAATATTTTGGTGTTTGAGGATTTGAGGATTTTGTTGTTTTGAGGTTTGTTAGGATTTTGTTGTTTTGAGGTTTGTTAGGATTTGAAGATTTCGGTGTTTTGAGGATTTGACGATTTTGTTGTTTTGAGGATTCTGAGGATTTAAAGATTAAAAGACAGGCGGTAGTCATAAAAGATAAGCGCTAGGCATAAATAGAGACGACGGGCATGAAATCAGGCAACGAGCATGAAGGCACATGACGACAATAAAAATACTGAGATCGAGCTAAAAACACACGTGATGGGCATAAAAAACGTAGGACGGGTAAAAAACACAAACGACAAGCATAAAACCTTAGACCAACCACAACTATAACAACACAGTCAGCGGCCGAAAAATTTAACAGACTGCGAGCAAAAAAAAGATCATAAAAACATACGACGGGGCATAAAAATACATACGACGGGCATAAAAACACAGTCGGTGGCCGAAAAAATAGAGACCACGGGCATAAAAACACAAACTGCGGGCAATGCGACACACAACGGGCAAAGAATCAAACGAGGGTGAAGACAAAGGACTAAAAAATAAATACAATCGATGGGAAAGGCAGACAACGCTCATAAAAACAGATGACAAGCATAAAAAGACAGACCACGAGCATAAAAAGACAGAGAACGAGAGGAAAAATATATGACAGTATAAAAACACATAGGATGGTTATAAAACCACATACGACGGACATAAAACCACAGACGGCAGTCCAAAAACCCTGACGACGGCCATAAAAGCAGATGACGCGGAACAAAATGGAGATCATGGGCATAAAAACAGACTGCGGGCAAAATAATACAGACGGGCAAAAAGTCACACGAGGGTGAAGACAGACGGTAGGCAAAAAGAAATACATGCGACTTGAAAGAGAGGGAGAGAGAGAGAGACGACGGCAAAGACAGACAAGGGGCATAAAAACAGACGACGAACTTTAGTGACAAGCGGACAGGCATAAAATATACGATGGGCATATAAACAGATGAACATAAAAGTAGACGACGGGAACAAAAATAGGGATCACCGCCATAAAAATATAGACACGTCGGGCAAAAAGATACGATCGACAAAAAGGTAGACGATGGGCGAACATACAGATGACGAGAATAAAAACAGAGAGGACGGACGTCGAAAAAATACGACGGGGCATAAAAACACATCGGACAGGCATAAAAATACGACGAGGCATAAAAAAACACGACGGCATAAAACCACAGATCATAAGTATAGAACCACAGACGACAAACAGAAAACCACAGACAACAAGAATAAAACCAGGACAATTACAAAAACAGTCGGCGACCGAAAAAACCTGACGACGGGCATAAAAAAGCAGATGACGCGGAACAAAATAAAGACCACAGGCATAAAAACAGACTGCGGGCAAAATAATACAGACGGGCAAAAAAGCAAAAGGCACACGAGGGTGAAGACAGACGGTAGGCAAAAAGAAATACATAGGACGTGAAAGAGAGAGAGAGAAAGATAGACGACGGGAAAAACAGACAGCGGGCATAAAATCAGATGACAAGAATAAAAGACAGTTGACGAGAATAAAAATAGAGACCACCGGCATCAAAATGCAGACGCGACCGATGGACAAAAAGGTAGACGATGAGTGAAAATACAGACGACGAGAATAAAAACAGTCAAAAAAATTCGACGGGACATAAAAACACGACGGGCATAAAACCATAGACGACAAAAATAAAACCAGGACGACAATTATAAAAACATAGTCGACGACCAAAAAAAACCTCACAACGGGCATAAAAGCAACCCGAAAAAAATAGAGAATACGACAATTACAAAAACAGTGGGCGACCAAAAAAACTTGACGACGGGCATAAAAGCAGATGACGCGGAACAAAATAAAAACCACAGGCATAAAAACAGACTGCGGGCAGAATAATATAGACGAGCAAACAGGCACACGACGTAAAAGAGAGAGAGAGACGACGAGAAGGACAGCCAAGGGGCATAAAAACAGACGACGAACTTTTAATGACAAGAGGACAGGCATACAATATACGACGGGCATAAAAACAGATGAATATAAAAGCAGACGACGGGAACTAAAATAGAAACCACCGCCATAAAAATATAGACACGACGGGCAAAAAGATACGATGGACAAAAAGGTAGACAATGGGCGAAAATACAGATAACGAGAATAAAAACAGAGAGGACGGACGTCAAAAAAATACGACGGGGCATAAAAACACATAGGACAGGCATAAAAATACGACGAGCATAGAACCACAGACGACAAACAGAAAACCACAGACAAGAATAAAACCAAGACGACAATTACAAAAACAGTCGGTGACCAAAAAAACCTGACGACGGGCATAAAAGCAGATGACGCGGAACAAAATAAAGATCACAGGTATAAAAAGAGACTGCGGGCAAAAGGCAAAAGGCACACGAGGGTGAAGACAGACGGTAGGCAAAAAGAAATACATAGGATTTGAAAGAGAGAGACACAGAGAGAGACGACGGGAAAGACAGACAAGGGGCATAAAAAAAGACAACGAACTTTAAATGACAAGAGAACAGGCATAAAATATACGACGGGCATAAAAACAGATCAACATAAAAGCAGACGACGGGAACAAAAATAGAGACCACCGCCATAAAAATATAAACACAACGGGCTACAAGACACGATGGACAAAAAGGTAGACGATGGGCGAAAATACAGATGACGAGAATAAAAACGGAGAGGACGGACGTCAAAAAAATACGACGGGGCATAAAAACACATAGGACAGGCATAAAACACACGACGGGCATAAAACTACAGATCATAAGTATAGAACCACAGACGACGAACAGAAAGCCACAGACTACAAAAATAAAACCAGGCCGACAATTACAAAAACAGTCGGCGACCAAGAAAATCGGGCAACGGGCATAAAAGCATACCGGAAAAAATTGAGAGTACGGGCATAAAAACACAAACTGCAGGCAATACGATATACAAAGGGCAAAGAGCCGGACAAGGGTGAAGACAGAGGACGGACAAAAAAATACAAATGATGGGAAAAACAGACACCACTCATAAAGACAGACGATGAGAGTAAAAATATATGACGGATATGAAAACACATACGACGGGCATAAAACCACAGACGGCAGTCCAAAAAAGCGGAACAAAATAGAGACCACAGGCATAAAAACAGACTACGGGCTAAACGCAAAAGGCACGAGGGTGAAGACAGACGTTAGGCAAAAAGACATACATACGACGTGAAAGAGAAAGAGAGAGAGAGAGAGAGACGACGGGAAAGACAAAGGGCATAAAAACAGATGAAAATAATAAAAGACAGTTGACGAAAATAAAAGACAGATGACGAATTTTAAATGACAGGAAGACAGACATAAAAATACACGACGGGCATAAAACCATAGGCTACAAGCATAAAAACATAAACTGCAAGCATAAAACCATAGACGACAAAAATAAAACCAGGACGACAATTATAAAAACATAGTCAGCGACCAAAAAAAACCTGACGACGGCCATAAAAGGACACCGAAAAAAATAGAGAGTACGGGCATAAACACACAGACTGCTGACAAAAAGACAGAAGACAGGCGTAAAAATATACGACGGACATAAAAACACATACAAACAACAAACGATAGACAAGCACAAAGACACAGACGACGGGCGAAAAGAAAGACGAAGGACAAAAAATACAGACGAGTGAGAAGACAGACAACGGACATAACGAGAGACGACTAGTATAAATAACAGAGGACGGGCGTAAAAATATAGACGGACATAAAAACATATACAATGGGCAAAAAAACATAAGGAGAGCATAAAAACCCAGATAGCGGTCAAAAAAAACCTGACGGCAGGCATAAAAACACACAACAGGTAATAAGAGAGTCGACGGGCATAAAGACCGATTACGAGAATAAAAAGACGGAACGAACATAAAAAACAGAAGACAGACAAGCGGACAGGCATAAAATATACGACGGGCATGGAAACAGATGAAGATAAAAGCAGACGACGGGAATAAAATAGAGACCACGGGCATAAAAACACAGACACGATGGGGGAAAATACAAATGACGAGAATAAAATACATAGGACGGGGATAAAAACAGACGACGGGCATAAAGACAGAGGATTAGCAACAAAACACATGAGCGGAAGACAGACGGCAGATAAAATGAAAAATAAACAGACGAAAGGAAAAACAAAACAGCGGGCATAAAGACTAGTGACGAGAATAAAAAGACAGGGGACGAGCATACAAAAAACTGAAGGCAGACGTAAAAATATACGACATACACAAAGGGGATACAAACACAGACGACGGGCGAAAAGACACTAAGGGCAAAAAACACAAACGAAGGGAATGAGAAACTACGAACATAACGAGAGACGACGAGCATAAAAATCTAGACGGGTATAAAAACATATACGATAGGCAATAACCATAAATGGCGAGCATAAAAATACACACAGCGGTCAAAAAACCTGACAACAGGCATAAAAACAGACCACCGGCAATAAGACGGTAAAATGACAGGCAACGACTAAATAGACAATCCAGGAGCAAAAATACAGACGAGGAGGAAGACAGACGGTGGGCAAAACGAAAAGTATACCCTGAGAAATATAGAGAGACGAAGGACTTAAATATAGATGACTATAAATATAGATGAATTAAAAAACAAACAACGAACATAGAGGGACAGAGGACAGTAAAAGTACACGGTGGGTATAAAAACACATAACGACTACAAAACCACAGACAAGCACAAAAACACAGACGGCGTCCAAAAAAAAACTGATGACGGGCATAAAAACAGACCACGGATAACAAAATAGTGGACGGACAAAAATACAAACGATGGGCGAAAAGACAGATAACGAGCCAAAAATACAAACGGTGGGGAAAAAGAGAAACAGACGACCAGACGATAGAAAAAATGCAAAACAAAAGAGTAAGATGGTCGACAAAAAAGGCAAGGCTGACGACGGGCAAAAAGAGACGGACCACGGATAAGACAGACTATGAGAAAAAGTAAACACAGACAGAAAATAATAAGGCAGATGACGACCAAAAAGAAAGGCAGAGGACAGTAAAAAAATAGAAGGGAAAAGAGACACAACAGGTAAGACAGATGCTGGGCAAAAAGTGAGACAGATGATGAACAAAAAGAAAGATAGACAATCAACAAAAAAATAATACAAGTACAAAAACCGGTAATTTACCAGGTTCAAGTTAAACAGTATATCGAATTCAAACACAAAAAATAATAGTAAAATCAATAAACATAAAATAAAAATTAATTCACTCACCAGTCATTTTTCTTCATAATTCTTCAAACTTTCTGAAAAATGAATCTTCGTTAGCCCTGGGGGATCCTTGATCGGTACAACATCCCCAAAAATCATGTTATTACAATTTTTATTCAAAAATAGCTTATGATTTACATAATTACACTCTAGCAGTCATAATCTCCAGCGTACTGAAGCTTATAACTTATTTCCAGACTTACGACAAGCTGCGCACATATTTACACTCTAATAAAATCAAGCTACTCTACTTTCAAATCTTCAATATATTATGTGTATTCATGGATTCTTAATCTTAACATGAACTGACAAAAATATACATACATCAGACTATTAAAAACAATCTAAACGTAAACCTGGCAGTACTCCCGTAGTTCTTAACTACATACATACTGACAACATACTTCATCTTCCATTGACAAATCGTCAATTTATAAAATACACAACTAAGTTATCACTTAAATTATTACTCATTCTATAACTTAAACCAGTCCGCTCACCCGAAATTCTGATAATTACTATAATCCGTCGCCGTGAACGTCGTCGAACTGGCCACCGGCGCCACTATCGAATACGTCACCGAAGAAACCCCCTGCTGGAACGCCGCCTGCGCCCCCACCTCGTGCCCCTTCGCCCCACCCATCTCGTGCCCCTTGGCCACGCCCATCTCGCTTTTGACCGGCGACACCACGAACTGCCCCCCACTGTCCGTCTTGAACTTGATCTCCCCCCCACCTCCCACCAAGTTGATCAGTCCCGAGTTCTGCAGCTCGACGATCTTCGGATCGAGCACCAGGTTCTCGCCGGAGACACTCAGCGGCCCCATCAAGCCCATCGAGTGGGCGAGGATCTTGACGTTCTTGGTCTCCTCCAGGTCGTCCTCCTTCTTGGGCTTGCCGTGGGTCTTGAAGCGGATGGGCGTGGGCTCGACGACGGGCGTGACGGGCTCCACTCGGTGTCCGCCCTTGAGGTCGGGCTGCGTCTCCACCCAGTGGCCGGTGGTGCGGCGGTGGGCCTTGAGCTGGCCCGATTGGATGAAGCGGGCGGGGCACATGCCGCAAGCGTAGGGCCGCGCCCCCGTGTGGCGGCGCATGTGCAGAGCCAGGTCGTTGGATTGGGTGAAGGCGCGGGCGCAGATGTTGCAGACGTATGGCCGCTCGCCGGTGTGGACGCGGGTGTGGCGTAACTGGAAGGGGCGGAGTTTGGTATAGTTCGTATCATATGGAAAGTCGACACGAAATTTATTTTTTAAATGATGATATTGGCATTGCATTTATTTCAACGTAAATGTCAAGCTTAACAAGGGATGCCAACATAATATTTTTAAACTAGATTTCAAAGGTTGCTGTTGCTATTATTTACTTTTTTGATATATTAAAAAATTGGTCGAAGGTTATTTTGACAGAACTTCCTTCGCACCTGAAGCACAACCCACCTAACCAATTTTCTTGTTTCTTCAGTTTTTCGATTTCCAAGTTTTCGAATTTTCAAGTTTAAAATTTTTCAGGATTCCAATTTTCCAAATTTTGAATTTTTCAATTTTTAGATTTTGCAATTTTTCGATTTGCGCTTAATCATTTCTGATGTTTTATTTTCTTTGTTTTTTCAATTGAAATTTTTTAGACTTGCGATTTTCAATTTTTCATTTTTATTATTTATTCAATTTTTAGATTTAAAATTCCTGGAGTTTTCAAGTATTAATTTCTCAATTTTTCATTTCTTCAATTTTTCGATTTGCAATTTTTTTTTTGTTTCTTCGATCACGACATGCAACTCTTCGAGTTTTAATTTTATATTTTATCAGTTTTCCGATTTTTCAATTTGCAATTTTTCATTTTGGTTTCATATTTTCTTTATTTTTCAATTATTGCATTTTGTTTTCCATTTTAATGTTTTCAATTTTTCGATTTTTCAATTTATTTTCTTTATTTTTTCACTTTTTGATTTTTCAATTTTTGGATTTTGCAGTTTTTCGATTTGCAATTTATCAGTTTTCAATTAATTTTTCGAGATTTCAATTTCTCGTTTATTTAATTTTTCAATTTTTCAGCGTTGGAGTTTTTCGACTTTACAATTTTGGTGATTCCATAATTTTCAAATTTTATAATTTTTGGGTTTTCCAATTTTTCGATTCGTTTCGTTTTTTCTTCTTTCCAATTTTTCGATTCGTTAATTTTTTTTGATTTTCGATTTTTTAGTTTTTCAATCTTACGTTCCTTCAATGCTTCGATTAGCAATTTTTCGATTTTTTTATTTTTCCGATTTTTCAGTTTTACAATTTTCCAACTTTTGGATGTTTCAATTTTTAGATTTTGAAATTTTTTAATTTGCAATTTTTCGTTTCGGTTTTTTATTTTCATTTTTTCAATTTTCGGTTTTTCAGTGTTGTGATTTTATTATTATTTTTTTTAATGTGGATTTTTTTAATTTTTGGATGTGAGTTTTTGGATTTGCAATTTTACCAGTTTTCAATTATTATTAATTTTTCAATTTTTCGATTTGTAGTTTTTCGTTTCGGTTTTCTATTTTTATTTTTTTCAATTTTATGATTTTTCTTTTTTCAATGTGAAATTTTTCAATTTTTGATTTGCAAATTTTCTAGTTCTCGTTTTAATTATGTAAGGTATTGTATTTTTTTAAATTTTTCACTTTTTCACAGTTACAATTTTTCGATTTTTCAATTTTACGAATCAAAAAAATTAAAAAATTATACAATTGAAAACTCAAAAACGAAAAAGTATAAAATGAAAACTTAGAAAAATCTAAAAATTGGAAATCAAGAACTTGTGAAGTTGAAAAACTGAAAAAATTAAAGTTCAAAAATCGAAAAATTATGAAACCAAAACATTGATGAAAAATGGAGAAATTGAAAAATGAAAGAATATAAAAGAAAGAAAAATTGTGTTATGAAAAGGTAAATAAATTATGAATCTTCTAAAAATGATTTGAAATCAAAAAAGTACAAAATCTAAAAAACGAAATATATTTTGTAAAATCGAAATATTGAAAATAAAGAAATCGGAAATAATCGGATAACTAATAAATCCAAAAATTGCAAAATTGAAAAAATAAGGAAACACTGAAAAATCAGAAATTGAAAATTTGAATAAACGAAAAACTATAAAATCGAAAGAAAAATAGAAAAATTAAAGAAATGAAAAAACGAAAAATTGTATACCAATGAAATTTATTTTTATTTTAATGAGAATAAAAAAAACGGGAAAATGAAAAAAAATCCAGAACTTGAAAAATTGAGGAAATGTAAAATAGAAAAATCAAAAAATTAAAAATTGAGAAACTGAAAAACCGAAAAATCAAAAAATGTAATTTCGAAAAACTGCAAAATTAAAAATCTCAAATCGAAAAATGGAAGAATTTGGAAGTCGAGAAATTGAAAAACTGAAAAAATTAAAGTTCAAAAATTGTTGTATGAAAAAATTGGTCCAAGGTAAGTAAATCCAGATTTTTCCAAAAATGATTTGAAATCGAAAAAGTGCAAAGTCCAAAAACGAAATATATTTTGTAAAATCGAAATATTGGAAATTAAAGAAATCGGAAAACCGGATAACTTAGAAATCCAAAAATTGCAAAATTGAAAAAATTAAAAATTGGAAAGCCGAGGAAATGAAAAACCAGAGATGGAAAATTTGAATAAACAAACAATTATAAAATCGACAGAAACATTGAAAACTAAAAGAAATGAAAAAAACAAAAATTGTGATTTAAAATCGAGATAATAAAAAAAAAAGCGGGAAAATAAAAAACGAATATCAAGAACTTGAAAAACTGAGGAAACGTAAAATTGAAAAATCGAAAAATTAAAAATTATAGTCGAGAAAACGAAAAATTATTAAACCAAAACATTGAAAAATGCAAGAAACTGACAAATGAAAGAAAATGAAAAAAGAAAAATTGTGACATCAAAAACTGTAAAATCCAAGAAAAGCGAAAAGCGGAAAATTGTTACATCAAAAAATTGGTCCAAGGTAAAAAAATCCAGACTTTTCTAAAAATAATTTAAAATCGAAAAAAACAACTATATTTTGTAAAACAGAAATATTGAAAATTACAGAAATCGGAAAACCGGATAACTGAGAAATCCAAAAATTGCAAAATTGGAAAACCGAGGAAATGAAAAATCAGAGTTTGAAAATTTGAATAAACGAAAAACTATAAAATCGAAAGAAACTTTGAAAACTAAAGGAAATGAAAAAACGAAAAATTGTGATTTAAAATCGAGATTATGAAGATAAAAAAACCGGAAAAATGAAACACAAAAATCAAGAACTTGAAAAACTGAGGAAACGTAAAATTGAAAAATTGAAAAATTAAAAATTGAGAAACTGAAAAAATTATAGTCGAGAAAACGAAAAATTATTAAACCAAAACATTGAAAAATGCGAGAAATTGACAAATGAAAGAAAATGAAAAAAGAAAAATTGTGACATCAAAAAACTGTAAAATCCAAGAAAAGCGAAAAGCGGAAAATTGTTACATCAAAAATTTGGTCCAAGGTAAAAAAAATCCAGATTTTTCTAAAAATTATTTGAAATCGAAAAAATGCAAAATCGAAAAGACGAAATATATTTTTGTAAAACAGAAACATTGAAAATTACAGAAATCGGAAAACCGGATAATTAAGAAATCCAGAAATTGCTAAATTGAAAAAAATTAAAATTGGAAAGCCGAGGAAATGAAAAATCAGAGAATGAAAATTTAAGTAAACGAAAAATTGCAAATTAAATCGAGATAGTGAAAATAATAAAAAAAAACGCGAAAATGAAAAACAAAAATCAAGAACTTGAAAAATTGAGGAAACGTAAAATTGAAAAACTGAAAAATTAAAAATTGAGAAACTGGAAAAAGTAAAAGTTGAAAAACCGAAAAATTATGAAACCAAAACATTGAAAAATGGAGAAATTAAAGACAAATTGTGATATCAAAAAACTGTAAAATCCAAGAAAAAAGGAAAAACGAAAAATTGTTATCAAATAGTCTAAGATTTGTGCAAAATCGAAAAAACCAAATATATTTTGTAAAATAGAAATATTGAAAATTAAACAAATGGGAAAACGGATAATTGAGAAATCCAAAAATTGCTAAATTGAAAAAATTAAAAGTTGGAAAGCCGTGGACATGAAAAACCAGATATTGAAAATTTGAATAAACGAAAAACTATAAAATCAAAAGAAACATTGAAAACTAAAGGAAATGAAAAAACTAAAAATTGAGATATAAAATCAAGATAATTAGAATTAAAAAAAAAACACGGGAAAATGAAAAACAAAAATGAAGAACTTGAAAAAATTGAGGAAACGTAAAATTGAAAAATCGAAAAATTAAAAATTAGAAAACTGAAAAAATTAAAGTTGAAAACACGAAAAATTATGAAACGAAAACATTGAAAATAGAGAAATTGAAAAATGAAAGAAAATGAAAAAAGAAAAATTGTGATATCAAAAAATTGTGCAAAGTAAAAATCCAAATTTTTCTAAAAATGATTTGAAATCGAAAAAGTGCAAAATCGAAAAAAACAAATATATTTTATAAAACTGAAATATTGAAAATTAAACAAATGGGAAAACGTATAATTGAGAAATCCAAAAATTGCTAAATTGAAAAAATTAAAAGTTGGAAAGCCGTGGACATGAAAAACCAGAGATTGAAAATTTGAATAAACGAAAAACTATAAAATCAAAAGAAACATTGAAAACTAAAGGAAATGAAAAAACTAAAAATTGAGATATAAAATCAAGATAAATAAAATTAAAAAAAAAACGAGAAAATGAAAAACAAAAATGAAGAACTTGAAAAATTGAGGAAACGTAAAATTGAAGTCGAAAAATTAAAAATTGAAAAACTGAAAAAATTAAAGTTGAAAAAACGAAAAATTATGAAACAAAAACATTGAAAATAGAGAAATTGAAAGATGAAAGAAAATGAAAAAAGAAAAATTGTGATATCAAAAAATTGTGCAAGGTAAAAAAAAACAGATTTTTCTAAAAATGATTTGAAATCGAAAAAGTGCAAAATCGAAAAAACCAAATATAAAGTCGCGATCTTTTATATAGAACCACTCCCTAGTGTAAATTTTCAAAATTTGTTTGGTGTAAGTGACCTTGACGGGTTTCTGGGGGAAACATATGTGTCAAAAATTTGACAGGTTAGATGGCCCCATTGTCAATGTAGATATTTTATTTTAATAAATAGATGAACAGAACATACAGTCTGTACCGGATACAGTGCGGCATAGCTAAGGGCAACCGAAACATTCGTGTTGTGCTAATTTCGATTGCCATATCAACTGCCGCTACCAACTGCGTTCGGCGTAAAGTACTAGATGACAGGGCTACCAACTTGACTTTTTATCGAGTGGTTCCGTAGAAATGACCGCTACTGTATTTTGTAAAATAGAAATATTGAAAAATAAAGAAATCAGAAAACCGGATAACTGAGAAATCCAAAAATTGCTAAATTGAAAAAAATAAAAATTGAAAAACCGAGGAAATGAAAACCAGAGATTTAAAATTTGAATAAACGAAAAACTATAAAATCGAAAGAAACATTGAAAACTAAAGGAAATGAAAAAACTAAAAATTGAGATATAAAATCAAGATAAATAAAATTAAAAAAAAAAAAAAACGGGAAAATGAAAAACAAAAATCAAGAACTTGAAAAATTGAGGAAACGTAAAACTGAAAAATCGAAAAATTAAAAATTGAAAAACTGAAAAAATTAAAGTTGAAAAAACGAAAAATTATGAAACTAAAACATTGAAAATGAAGAAATTGAAAAATGAAAGGAAATGAAAAAAGAAAAATTGTGATATCAAAAAACTGTAAAATCCAAGAAAAAAGAAAAACGAAAAATTGTTAGATCAAAAAAATTGGTCCAAGTTAAAAAATCCAGACTTTTCTAAAAATGATTTGAAATGGAAAAAGTGCAAAATCGAAAAAACCAAATATATTTTGTAAAATAGAAATATTAAAAAATAAAAAAATCAGAAAATCGGATACCTGAGAAATCGAAAAATTGAAAAATTTTAAAATTGGGAAACCCGGGAATTGAAAAAAATATATAAAATCGAACGAAACGTTGAAAAAATTAAGGAAATGAAAAAACGTAAAATAAAAATCTAGAACTTGAAAAACTGAGGAAACAAAAAATTAAAAAACTGAAAAATCAAAAATTGAGAAACTGAAAACCGAAACATGAAAAATTGTAATATCGAAAAACTAAAGAAATTAAAGTTGAAAATCAAAAAAAAAATATCTATATTAACTTGTACGGGTTCTCATAAAAAAATAAAATTCGCAAAATCAAATTTTATAATTATTCGTAAAATCTGGATATATTTTATTGTAACTTGCGTTCAATTGAAAAATCACTCAGAGTAGGCGTTGGAATTTCATTTGGCAGAAACATAACCTTACATTTTAACCAATCGTACCAACCTTTTTCAATTTTGAAAAAAAAATTTAGACGACATATATGAAAAAACAGGCAATAGACACCTTTTTGCTCGTCATCCACACTTACCAACTTATTGCTTTTATTGAACGACTTTCCGCACAACGCGCAATGATATGGTTTTTCCCCTGAGTGCGTCCTCTCGTGACATTTAAGGTCGTGCGATCTCGGAAAACCTTTCCCGCACTGGCTACACTTATACGGACGCTCGCCGGTATGACGCCTCATATGAACAATCTAAAACGCCAAAAACGTCAACCCTTCAAAAACAAAAATCCCCAACTCACCATATTGCTCGAATTATTAAACTCCTTGCCACAATAAATACACAAATGTAACTTCGTCGTATCCTTAATCCCAGTGTGAATCCTCTGGTGAGTCTTAAGATTATCCAGTCTATTAAACGCCTTACCACACTCAGGACAAACGTGTCTTTTATCCTGCAGTAAATGTATTTTAATATGTCGCGCCAGATGGTCGGACCTGAAAAGTGAAAACCACCTATAACACGCCTACCAACCAACCAAAAACCACCAACCTGCTGAACGTCTTCTCGCATATCGAACACGTCAAATTATCCTCCTTCTCGTTCCCGGTCTGGTGGACCTTCAAGTGCCTTATTAAATGCTCCCCTCTACTGAAGGGCTTATTGCAGATCGTGCAAGCGTAGGGCTTGTTAATATGGTCTTCCTCCACGTGCTTCGCCAAATGCTCCAAAGTCGCATACGCTTTATCGCACCGATCGCACTTGTGTATCAAGAGCGCCCTATGAAGGGTCATGTGACGTGTGAGGTGGTTGGCCCTTGCGAAGGCGGCTTCGCACACGTGGCATACGTGTACTTTGTGATGTGTGGACTTGACGGGCGGAATGTCCTCCTTCGTTTCCGCGTCCGAAACCGACGATTCCGGCTCCTGCGGTTTCTCTTCTTTTTCTTTGTCCGGTTTCTCCTCCTGCGGTTCGTCGTCTTTGGCGTTTTCTTCCTCTTTGCTGCTGTTGATTTTCGAGATGTACGTGCTGAGGGGTACGTCGCTCTCGTCGGACATACCGTGCTCGGTTTGCATGTGATGATTAAAGCTTTTCTTATACTTAAATTTACGGTCGCAGAATTCGCATTCCATCACTTTCTTTTCGACCGGCTTTGGTTTCTCTAGTTCTTTGATGCCGTGGGTTTGGAGGTGGCGCTTCAGGTGGCTCGTTTTCGTGAAGCTTTTCTCGCAAAGCTAGGGAGAAAGTAAGAATGTAGAAGGGCTGGTTAGGACTAAAGAAAAAGAGGGAATTAGAGTTGGCTCTAATTTCAGGAACTTCAGTTGGCGAGTTTGGTGACGTTAAAATTAAGTGACATCTGTAAACGTTTTTAAAAAATCGTATTGACCTCACAAGACCAAACTGCCAAATGAAGTTTTAAAAACAGTTAGTGACCGAGTTTTTATTATTTTTTTTTTTTTACTACAATTAAAAAATAATAATTCAGTAGCATTGCTAAACATTCAAAGAACATCATTTTCGCATTCTAAAAGCTGTGACATGTTAAAAAAAAAAACAGAAAATTAGACATTCGTTAAAATAATTACGATACTTCCCTTAACTTTAGCTTTGGAAATAAAGGATCCTACCATTTTACAGCGAAATTGATGTTTAAAATGAGCGTTAAATTATAATAAAACATTACACACACCTGCAATACTGAAAAAATTGACAAAAATAAACAAAATGAAGGCGGATTCATAAACCACACGTACAGGGGAACATTATTTTATAAAATTTAAATGGAGTTTACTAAGCAAAATGTTTATCTGACATCATACTGCATTGGTGAGGAAGATAAAACAAATTTTCGTTAGCGTTTTATCATTTACACGATATGCCTCACACACATAAAATTTTACAACAATCGCCCTGATAGTTTCGGCAAAACGGGGGACCTATTTTTTCATACTCTAGGGATCCTGAAATGTCGAAAAAACATAAAAGTATCCGTTACTCAGGTGGACCCTATTACAATACTTCCTTAGCTTACGCTCGGGGAGTAAAAATTGGTTCGAAGTTATTTAAACAGAACTTTCCTAGCCTCTGAAGCATAATCGACCAAGTCCAGTCTCTTCATTTTACTTCCCGAGCGTAATAGCGTGCATCTGACGAACAGCTACTTTTATATTTTTTCGACGTTTCATGGCTCCTTAAATTTTACAGAATTACATACTCGTGCATGTGTGATTCATGAATTCGTGTTGAGTTTTTACTCTCGACCTCAAGATCTTTCGAAAAAAAATCCAAATTGTATCACATTTTATAATAATTATTTATTTAACTTTGAAATTGCAAAACCTAATGCTTTGAAATCATGAACGCTTTGAGATTATAGGAAGAATTTTTCGATTTTCGGTTTTTCAAACATTTGATTAATCGAATTTTCGAATTTTAGATCACTCGGTTTTCGATTTCTCGAGTTTTTATAATTTCCGATTTCCGGTTTTTTGATTTTCGAAATTCGAATTTTCGACTTCGGATACTTGATTTTTTCTATATTTCGATTATTGGATTTTTTGAAATATCGATTTTCAAATTTTCAATTTTTCGAATTTTTGAATTTTTCCAATCTTCAGTTTTTAGAATTTTCAATTCTTTTACTTTTTCATTTTCAATTTTTCCATTCTTCAGTTTTTCGATTTTTACTTTTTTTAGTTTTCAATTTTTTAATTTCTCGAATTTTCCATTTTCGAAACTGGAATTCTCAAACTTTCTACTTCTCAATTTTTCGGTTTTTGATTTGTTCATTTTTGGAAATGAATTTTCAATATTTTTAATTTCCGATTTTTCAATTTCTTGATTTTTCGACCATCACTTTCTAATTCTCGATATTTCGAACTTTCGATTTTTCGACTTCCGATATTATTTAATTTTTTCTATACCTATTTCGATTATTGGATTTTTCGAAATCTCAATTTTTGAATTTTCGGTTTTCCCATTTTCGTTTTTTCGAGGATGTATTTGATTTCTTGAATTTTCGATTTTTTAATGTCTCCAATCTTCAGTTTATAGACTTTTTTTTTAATTCTTTTACTTTTTGGTTTTCAATTTTTTCATTCTTCAATTTTTCGATTTTTAGTTTTTTTAATTTTCAATTTTTTAATTTACTCGAGTTTTCGATTTTAGATTTTTCAATTTTTTGATTTTTCGACAATAACTTTCTACTTTTCGAGATTTTGAATTTTCGATTTTTTGACTTTCGATATTTCATTTTTTCTACATTTCGATTATTTATTAATGGATTTTTCAAAATCTCTATTTTCGAATTTTCGGTTTTCCGATTTTTGGATTTTCTCTTGTTAGAATATTTGATTCATCGAATTTTCGCCATTCCAAATTTTAATTTGTTTGCTTTTCGTTTTCCCGATTTTAAAATTTTTCAACTCCTCGATTTTACAAATTTTCAATTTTTCGAATTTTTTAATTTTTCCAATCTTCAGTTTTTAGACTTTCGATTCTTTTACTTTTTGATTTTCAATTTTTCCATTTTTCTGTTTTCCGATTTTTACTTTTTTACCCTTCAATTTTTTAATTTCTTGTTTTTTCGACGATCACTTTCTAGTTTTCGATATTTCGAATTTTCACATTTTCGTTTTTTCCAGTTTTCATTGAATTTTCGATTTTCGAATTTTTAATTTGTTCCCTTTTCAATTTCCCGATTTTTCAATTTTCGCTTTCCGATATTTCATTTTTTCTATTTCGATTTTTTTCCGTTTTGATTTTCAATTTTTCCATTTTTCAGTTTCTCGATTTTTACTTTTTTTTACTGTTCAATTTTTTAATTTCTCGACTTTTCGAAATTGGAATTCTCAATCTATCTAGTTTTCAATTTTTCAATTTCTGGATTTTTGAACTATCACTTTCAACTTTTCGAACTTTCGATTTTTCAACTCCCGATATTTAATTTTTTCTATATTTCCATTATGGAGTTTTTGGAAATCTCGATTTCCGAATTTTCGGTTTTCCGAATTTTCTTTTTTTTTGAATATTTGATTCATCGAATTTTTAATTTGTTTTCCTTTCGATTTTCCGAATTTTCAATTTTTCAATTCTTCAATTTTTCAAATTTTCAATTTTTTTAATTTCTGATTTTTCAAATTCTTTTTTTGGTTGTTTTGAGTTTTCAATTTTTTTATTTTTTTCAATCTCCAGTTTTTAAACTTCTCAATTGTTTTACTTTTACATTTTCAAGTTTTCCATTCTTCAGTTTTTCGATTTTTATTTTTTGTCAATTTTCAATTTTTTGATTGCTCGAGATACTCGAATTTTCAATTTTTCTACATTTCGATTTTTCAATGTTTACATTCTTCAGTTGTTTGAACGTTTATTTTGTTTATTTTCGATTTTTTCTTTCTTCAGTTTTTCGATTTTTATTTTTTGTCACTTTTCAATTTTTTTGATTGCTCGAGTTTTCAATTTTCGATACTCGAATTCTCAATTTTTCTACTTTTCGATTTTTATTTTTCTACTTTTTAGTTTACACTCTTCAGTTTGTAGAACGTTTATTTTCTTTATTTTCTTTTTTTTTTGAAAAATCAATTCCATTCTTCAGTTTTTTGACTTTTCATTTTTTTACGTTTCGATTTTTTGATTCCTCGCGTTTCCGAAATTTCGATTTTTCAAATTTTCAATTTTCGAAATTTCAAACTGTCGATTTTTCGACTTCCAATATTTTATTTTTTCTATTTCGATTATTGAATTTTTCGAAATCTCAATTTTAAATCTTCGGTTTTCCGATTTTCGTTTTTTCGAATATTTAATTCATCGAATTTTTAATTTGTTTTCCTTTCGATTTCCCGATTTTTCAAATTTTCAATTTTTTGAATTTTTATTTCTGATTTTTTGAATTTTCGATTTTTTAATTTTTCCAATTTTCCGTTTTTAGACTTTACACTTTTTTTACTTCTCGCTTTTCAATTTTTCCATTTTTCAGTTTTTCGAATTTTATTTTTTTTCACTTTTCGATTTTTTGATTTCTCAATTTTTCGAGTTTCGATACTCGAATTCTCAATTGTTTTACTTTTCAATTTTTCGATTATTGATTTTTGGAATTTTCGATTTTTCAATTTTTACACTCTTCGTTTTTTGACTTTTCATTTTTTTAACGTTTCAATTTTTTGATTTCACGAGTTTTTGATTTTTCGAGTTTTCAATTCAAATTTGCAATTTTCGAAATTTTGAACTGGCGATTTTTCGACTTCCGATATTTCATCTTTTCGAGTACTCGACTCATGGAATTATCGATATTCCAATTTTTAATTAGTTTTCCTTTCCCCATTTTTCAATGCCTCGATTTTTTAAATTTTCGATTTTTTCATTTTTACGATCTTCAGTTTTTAAACTTCTCAATTGTTTTACTTTTACATTTTCAAGTTTTCCATTCTTCAGTTTTTCGATTTTTATTTTTTGTCAATTTTCAATTTTTTTATTGCTCGAGTTTTCGATTTTCGACACTCGAATTTTCAATTTTTCTACGTTTCAATTTTTCAATGTTTACATTCTTCAGTTTTTAGAACGTTTATTTTGTTTATTTTCGATATTTCCCTTCTTCAGTTTTTGGATTTTTATTTTTTGTCACTTTTCAATTTTTTGATTGCTCGAGTTTTCAATTTTCGATACTCGAATTCTCAATTTTTCCACTTTTCGATTTTTCAATGTTTACACTCTTCAGTTTGTAGAACGTTTATTTTCTTTATGTTCGATTTTTCAATTCCATTCTTCAGTTTTTTGACTTTTCATTTTTTTACGTTTCGATTTTTTGATTCCTCGCGTTTCCGAATTTCCGATTTTTCAAATTTTCATTTTTCGAAATTTCAAACTGTCGATTTGTCGACTTCCAATAATTTATTTTTTCTATTTCGATTATTGAATTTTCCGAAATCTCAATTTTAAATTTTCGGTTTTCCGATTTTCGTTTTATCGAATATTGGATTTATCGAATTTTTAATTTGTTTTCCTTTCGATTTCCCGATTTTTCAAATTTTCCATTTTTGGAATTTGATTTTTATTTTTGATTTTTTGAATTTTCGATTTTTTAATTTTTCCAATTTTTAGTTTTTAGACTTATCAATTTTTTTACTTCTCGCTTTTCAATTTTTCCATTCTTCAGTTTTTCGAATTTTATTTTTTTCACTCTTCGACTTTTTGATTTCTCAATTTTTCGAGTTTCGAAACTCGAATTTTCAATTGTTCTACTTTTCGATTATTGATTTTTGGAATTTTCGATTTTTCAATTTTTACATTCTTCATTTTGTTTTTAGAATGTTAATTTTGTTTACTTTCGATTTTTCGAATTTTCAATTCCATTCTTCAGTTTTTTGACTTTTCGTTTTTTTAAGGTTTCAATTTTTTGATTTCTCGAGTTTTTGATTTTTCGAGTTTTCAATTATTCAAATTTGCAATTTTCGAAATTTTGAACTGTACTCGACTCATCGAATTTTCGATAATCCAATTTTTAATTTGTTTTCCTTTCGATTTCCCGATTTTTCAAATTTTCAATTTTTGGTATTTCTGATTCTCCGAATTTTTGAATTTTGGTTTTTTGAATTTTCGATTTTTTAATTTTTACAATCTTCAGTTTTTAGATTTCTCAATTGTTTTACTTTTCGATTTTTTAATTTCTCGAGTCTTCGATTTTCGATACTCGAATTCTCAATTTTTCTAGTTTTCAATTTTTCAATTTTTATAGTCTTCACTTTTTAGAATCTTTATTTTGATTACTTCCGATTTTTTGACTTTTCATTTTTTACGTTTCGATTTTTCGACTTTTCGGGAAAGTATTGTATTTTTTCGAAAAAAAAAATGGTTTAATTAATAAAATTAATTAATTCAACATCCTGTATAAGAAATTCTCACATCAAAAAATGTAAAAATCACACACTTATTTTTTTTTCGTTTTTAAAAGTTAAATACTAAAATTTTGGTTCATGTTGAAAGCTTTCTGAAAATATTCAAGGATAACAACAAAAATAAGGTTAGCATGTTATTTTCCAAATTTTCAACAGGATTTACTTCACAAAATTCTGAGATAGCGTTATAAAATTTTTAGTGGGGATGATAAGACAAGTTCTAGTGAGAATTTTACCATCTACACACTGTTCTGAGAATACGTGTAAAATTTCACAACAATCAGTCCAGTAGTTTCGGACATTATATGTACATATAATGAAATCGCCAGACAGCCAGAAATGGCAGACTAATTCTTTCATGTTTACAAAATATCGAGAAAACACCTTATACAAAGATACAAATTAAAAGACTTCAAATAATTATCACGGATATTTTTGCCAAATTTCTGCGGTGTCGCGGGTGTGTATAATGTGTTATATTTGTCAAATGTATTTTTCTTCAGTATGTGCCAAGTGAAAAATTCCTAACCCAATTTAAACTAAAAAAAACGTCAATCCTATCCAAAGTAACTATTTTAGCAACCTTTTATGGCATTACATCCAACATAAAATTATGAGTGTATTTGAAATTCAGTAAAATAAATTTATTACCGTGTTATACCTAATGCTGAACTTCAGATTTGTTCTTTATAATTTTCGAATTGGTTAAATACCGAGATAGCAATAAAAAAACACGATCCAAGTCAGCCATGGATTATTGAAGATTTGTCTTTGCTAGAATTTTCGTCCTGTCAGATTGACAGCAAGTTTTCAAAAATCCATGGCTATCTCTGATTATGTTTTTTTTGCTCTCCCTCATTATAAAGCGTTGAAACTTTGAAATGAACAGTGGGATCGAAGTTGGCGTAAACTTTACACACCAATTACAGCGCCATCTAGTTGAGCAAAGCCAAGAACAAAAATAACCAAACTTAAATGGAATATCTGAGTTATTTTTTTTTTAAACAATTCAGAAACAAATCAATTACTTACAACACCTACATACTCACTTTGCACTTAGCAAGATCCGACCCCGTGTGCCGCCTCATGTGAATCTTCAACCCCACAAACGTCGTCATAATTTTATAACAGTATTTACATTCATACGTTCCCTTATCCTTCTTCGTGGGTCTCGCTTTCGGCTTAAAGTACTCCTCCAACACATCGTCCTCCTCCTCGTCCTCGTCCTCATCATCCTCATCGTGAATCTCCAAAGTGACCTCCTCGTTGTCGCCGTCACTCTGAATCTCCGCCGACGCACTCTGCTGTCCATTCTCCCCCTCGTCGCTCTTCTCGTCCGATTTATGAGTCTTTTTATGCGACAGCAAGTGGCTCAACTTCATGAAAGACCTCCCACATTCGGCACACACATGTCCTGCGTCACTCTTCACGTGCGTCTTCATATGCCTAATCAAGTGGTGAGTCCTCGTGAACTGAGCATTGCACATGTGACACGAGCGCAGCTTGTCCCCAGTGTGGCGCCTCTGGTGGATCCGCAGCCCCTTCTTGGTCCTCAGCACCTTCTGACAGAACGGGCAAGTGAAAGACGACTTCCGCTTATCATCGTCTTCATCACTGTCAGAGTCATTGTACAGTTCCGGAATGTTAAAGTCTGGCTGGACTACGATGTCGCAGGACTCCTCCTTGATCACAGAGTCGCTCTGATTGGTCAACTCCCGCAGCGTGGAGTCTGATTTTTGGCATTGCTGTTTGAACTCGTATGCTAGGTTGAGTTTGTTCTCACAGTTCACACACAACAGGTTCGGAAGACCATCTCCTGAGGCGACCTGGAATGAGGGGGCTGTGGGTGGCGTGAGGACGGTGTGGAGATACTTACGACGACGGCGGCACAATCCATTAACATTTCAGCGAGTTGCAAAGTTTGGCCGCCGAGTTCTTTTGAATCGAATACATTTCGCATATTCTCATTTTGGCACATGCAAGAACGACAGATTTTGTCTATAACCAACTCGGTCGTTTTATTAATCATTATATCGACACTGTGTTTAATCAAAAATCGAATTTGTTATCATAATTGCCGAAACTATTTCAGGCACACGATTATTTTGTTGTTTGGTTGGGTATCGGCAGTACGCGATCTTTTGCGCACTCGCCCTAGTGTCTAATCGTTTATTGGGTGGTGTTTCTAAACCACCAGAAACAGGAAAATTAGAAATTGTTGCACTATTTATCTACGTTTGTTTATTTACATCATTAATAACGAGAAATCTACAAAATAACCGTCCTTTTTAAATTACTTGTTTGACGTCTGCTCGATGGTTGGCACCACTGTCCTATTTAAAATTACGCGCTGACTCATTCAATCGTGTGTTAAATTACTAATTACAAATCTAATAATCATTACTATATTTTAATCATCCCACTTGGATTTTCTTTTCACAAATTCCTCTTTTCCGTCTTCTTGAACGGCTGAGTAATATCCCTGAGACTCGTATTTGTTTCTCATATAAGTGATGTATGCCAAACAACCACAAAAGGCTGTTATTCCCAATCCCATTATAACGAGATTCTGCAGCAATTAAATTAAGCAATTCGTGCGTTTTTTAAACAATTAAGTAACTTACTGGTTTCACGTATAATTCAAAATTGACAGCTTTAAACAAAGTTGTAGTTCTCACTGATCGAAGTCCATCGCCAGGAGCGGCTGCAGGTTCCTTCTTATCAGACATTTTTGTGTATGGAAAATCTTGTTCTACCTACAAAAATTTACAACAAATAACAATAATATTATAACCTAAAAACTACATTGACGGATGTGGCTATAGTACCTCATCGACGCCATCTTTTCTCGTGGTTCCAATTTACGATCGACCAAAAACGCAGCTTTAATTTATTAGAAAAATTTAAAGTCAAATTGTTAGATTAGTTAGAAAAAAACATAATTATCATGCATTTCTCAATAATTTTTGACAAAAATTTATATTCACTATTCGTTGTATAACTGGGTGCCTATATAAGAACATTTCAATTAACATTGACTGAGGCTAGACAAATGTTTATTTAAAAATATGTTTTAAATCAACGTCTTGACGTTAAAAAATAGTTTTCTAAATTAGCCAGAATGAAAGGTACCACAGAGCGATAAATGAGTATTTTCAGACTTAAATGTAAAGGTACTTCGTACTTCATTTGTAATAATAATGTCAGATTGATAACACAAAAACCTCTTGTTAAACCATAAATAAGCCCAAAATAACTCAATGAATGTCGAAACAAGTGTAGTACCTCTCTGATACTAATATGGTTCACTATCAGTTAGAAGCAACACGACAGGCGATACAGAATGTCTCACATAAATATTGCCAATACGTTGTCCGTCCCATCAATATGAGACATGATACTATTAGATTGATTCGCCATTTAAGAATGATTTCAGATAAATATCTAATCATCAATAAGTAAACAATTTTTAAAATAATACACTAAGTAGATGTTTTGTATCGTTTACCGTTCATTCAGTATTGTGGAATAAAATACAATCTGTATTAAAGAATTAAGTTCTAGTACCTAGCCGTGCTTATTTGTTGTCATCGTCTGAGAACTTCTTCAAATTTTGACATTTTTGAAACAAAACATTTTCAAATTCAGGAATTTCAACAATTTCGATATTTCAGCGCTCGATTCTGGAGAAACGGTTGCATTTATCAAAGAAACGAGGCTGGAAGTGAGTTCTAGAGCTCGAAATCTACAAGAAAAAATATTTAGTTAAGTTTCGAAAATTTCAAAAATTTGCCGATATTTGAAGAAGGGGGGACTATTGAAAAAATTTCACTTTTAAAAAAGTTGTCTAAAAATTGTGAAAAAATTCAGAGACGTAGATCTCGACACGCTGATTCAAAAAATACAGCGTGTTGATGGTGACGGAGCAACATTTTCGAAAAAATCGGTATGAAATGCCAATTTTTGAAATTTTCAAAAATTTCGATGTTTCAAAGGTCGATTCTGGAAAAACCCTGTCGCCTTTTCAGTGATTGATTTTTTCCAATGTAAATGAAATGAATGATCACAAATAAAATTAGTAGTTAGATTGAGAAGAGAGGGGGTGGGCGGGGCTACTACTTGCTAAGATAGGACAGTTTTGGGCAGATGACATACCTTATATGAAAACAGAGGGTGGGTGGGCGGGGCTAGTATTTGATAAGATAAAACTCATTTTGGCACTTTTGACATTTTCGGCCATTTTCCAACTACTTCCGAAAATTAGTCGAAATCTTGTAGATTTCGATATCCAGAATTTTTTCACTCCCACTCGACAGAAGATCATAATTATCGTCTAAAAATTGTGAAAAAATTCAGGGACGTGGATTTCGACACGCTGACTCCAAAAATATAGCGTGTTGATGGTCACGGAGCAACATTTTCGAAAAAACCGGTACGAAATGCGAATTTTTGAAAATTTCAACAATTTCGATATTTCAATGATCGTTTTCGGAAAGACGGTTGCAGTTATCAAGGGAGCGAGGCCGGAAGTGAGTTCTAGAGCTCGAAATCTACAAGAAAATATATTTAGTTAAGTTTCGAAAATTTCAAAAATTTGCCGATATTTGAAGAAGGGGGGACCATTGAAAAAACTTCACTATTAAAAAAGTTGTCTAAAAATTGTGAAAAAATTCAGGGCCGTGGATCTCGACACGCTGATTGCAAAACTATAGCGTGTTGATGGTCACAGAGCAACATTTTCGAAAGAATCGGTCCGAAATGCGAATTTTTTAAATTTTCAAAAATTTCGATGTGTCAGCGGTCGATTCTGAAAAAACAGTGGCATTTATCAAAGAAACGAGGCCAGAAGAGAGTTCTGGACCTCGAAATCTACAAGAAAATGTATTTAGTTAAGTTTCGAGTATTTCAAAAATTTGCCGATATTTGATGAAGGGGGAACCATTGAAAAAATTTCACTTTTGAAAAAGTTTTCTGAAAATTGTTAAAAAATTGAGGGACGTAGATCTCGACACGCTGATTTCAAAAATACAGTGTGTTGATGGTGACGGAGCAACATTTTCGAAAAAATCGGTCCGAAATGCCAATGTTTGAAATTTTCAAAAATTTCGATGTTTCAAAGGTCGATTCTGGAAAAACCCTGTCGCCTTTTCAGTGATTGATTTTTTCCAATGTAAATGAAATGAATGATCGTATAGTGAACACAAGTAAAATTAGCAGTTAGATTGAGAAGAGAGGGGGTGGGCGGGGCTACTACTTGCTAAGATAGGACAGTTTTGGGCAGATGACATACCTTGTATGAAAACAGAGGGTGGGTGGGCGGGGCTAGTATTTGATAAGATAAAACTCATTTTGGCACTTTTGACATTTTCGATCATTTTCCAACTACTTCCGAAAATTAGTTGAAATCATGTAGATTTCAATATCCAGAATTCATATTCGGCTTCGCTTCTTCGAAAATTCCTAGCGTTTTTTCACTTCCACCCGACAGCAGAAGAACATAATTAGCCCCGCCCACCCGCCCTGTCTCCTTTTCAGAGATATATTTTATTCGATCTGAATAAAATGAATGATCCTATAGTAAACAGAAATAAAATCATTCGTTAAAATGAGAAGAGGGGGGGGGGGGTGCAGCTAGTACTTGCTAAGATAGGAGACTTTTTGGTAAATGACGTGAAAATAGAGGGTGGGTAGGCTGGGCTAGTATTTGATAAGATAAAACTCATTTTGGCACTTTTGACATTTTTGACCATTTTCCAACTACCTACTTCCGAAAATTAGTCGAAATCTTGTAGATTTCGATATCCAGAATTCATTTCTAAAAATTATAGCGTGTTGATGGTCACGGAGCAACAATTTCGAAAGAATCAGTACGAAATGCGAATTTTTGAGAATTTCAACAATTTCGATATTTCAACGATCGATTCTGGAAAGACGGTTGCAGTTATCAAGGGAGCGAGGCCGGAAGTGAGTTTTAGAGCTCGGAATCTACAAGAAAATATATTTGGTTAAGTTTCGAAAATTTAAAAAATTTGCCGATATTTGATGAATTGAAAAAATTTCACTTTTAAAAAAGTTGTCTAAAAATTGTGAAAAAATTCCGAGACGATTTAACATGCTTCCATTAACCATAAATTGGAAAATGTTTTTCCAGAAATCTTGACGTCTAAGGTAAAAACTCAACACGGATTCATAAACCGTAAACGAAAGATATAAGATTTAAATTACATCTACTATTGTAAAATTTGGAGATTACGTCATTTCATTGTTGGTGACAAATTTTGGTGAGCCTTTCACCATTTGATAATACAATTTGGAATGTTCACTTATCGCTTAGAGTCGATATTCGCCCGAGTGCGCTCTGGTCTGTAGATCAAACGAGTCCTCAGGCGACGAAGTGTAAAAAAAATTGTCGAAAGTAGAACGAGTGTAGAAAAGCAAAACTTTTCCGCTTATTGCATACACAAATATTTTTGTTTTCTTGTTTTACCCAGTTCCACGGAGGTCTTTCGCTGCCAGATAAAACAGTTAGACCCTGCGACCGTGTTTATCTAAAGGCCTTAGCGCCACTCCACCACCCAAAAGAGGGAATGAGAAAGCACACGTTATTTTTTCTCACGCATTTTGCTTCAACACAAATAAATATATCGGGATTCTTCAGAGTTGCGTCCTATAAACTCTTTTATCCTACTATGTCCACTAATAGGTCGGGCAAATATTATCTCTCGGCTTAGAACGTGACACTTTATTAATGCTTTTAGGAAACAAACGGCATTCAACCAATAATTGACGTGAGAAAAAATCGTACTCTTCCGATTAATTTCACCCGAAAATCGACATATTTTAATAATTTTTCATCTACACCATAATTAATTGTAATTTAAACTCTAGTAAGTTCAGAGTTGACAGAAGGTGTTATTTACATATTAATTAAGGATTCATTATCCACTACAGGAACTACTTATAACATAACTGCGATTTTTGAAACATTTTATAAAGAAATAAAAAACCGAAAATACCACAACTGATGGTTTAAAATCTACGTAAAATATTTTTATATCTCTGTTTCATGAAAGTTAATCACAACGTCTTTCCCCATTTTCTCATAGGTGGTCAACCCTCGCCCAGAAGAACAAAAATGCGGTCGCATCAAGCCGGCTGCGTTTAATCCAAGTCACGTGACAGACATTCGCGCATCTGAATTACAAATGTCACAAAACAATAACCTAACGGTACGCCGTCTCCGAGCTAGAGCTTTGGTGGAGCTGAGGACGGCTCGGTTTTTTTCAGACAAAGCTTCTGGCTCGGAATTTTTTCTCTCACGACCTCCACATTTCCCCGAAACCGCGCAAATCCGCCGATTTCTGCGCGACTAACGGTACAATTCGCGGAATGAAGCGTTTACGTTAGTCACATGTGCGCACAATTTCGCTGTTGTTTTATGCAATAATCACAATAAACCGAAGAGGGAGCGGATCCGGATTGGGGACCACACGCGGGTCGGAATTGCCACCAACAGGTGGGAAAACGGCGATTCTTGAGGTCGGGGGCGTGTTGGCGGTGGAGCGCTAGGGATTAGGGGCGCATTGTCGCAGGGTGGCTATTGTCGAAAAACGGAAACTCGGAACGGGGCTGTCAAATTGTGAAGCGGCGATTAGGTAAAGTCTGTTTATTTGGGAATAAAGTCGGTCCAGGTGCGAAACACATGTAACATAACAAGGGAAGGTTGTTGGTGGGTAAAGTACGGTAGTTTGTTTAGAAATTGTCGAAAAAATTATGGTAACCATGAAAGTATTGAT